TCTCTGAGTATCAATTGGTATTAAGGCCGATTCCCATGAACTACGATCAATGGTATAATCCACTAGCAAGGCCAATTGTAGTGGAAAGATGTTTTATAGGGTAAGATTGAAATTGATGAGTTGGATAATGAATTTTTGATTTCAGAAACACATCTTGGTCATACTCTCCTCGTGTCCTTGGTGATCGGAAACAAATTGATGAATTACTGATGGAATATGCTAGAAAAGTTGATAAAGAAAAAGCAAAATCATTGGGTAGATTACCCCTTATTCTAGAAAATCCCTAATTTAATTCTTTAAAGTTTGATCTAAAACTAAAAATGTTATGTAAGACTTTGGAATCCTAAAATTAAATTCCGACAGAAACAAGTCCATTTTTGAATTCGTTTCAAAATTAAAAACTCTAGGCTAACTTTAAACGGCACAGGAAATAACAAACAGAGATTATTAAGTTTTGGCGGGAATCCGAAATAGAATTTGAGAAATTTTTTCCAAATGTGAACGACTTCGCCACTTAGGTCCCAGGAAGCGGGTCAGAAAAGGCGCCCCAGCAAACTCGTAGGCCAGAAGAAATTTAATAATTTCAAAGTGGACGCGAGTTTGATCTAGATCATGATCTACTTCTTTGAAATCAACGGGGGTTTTCGCTCATCATTTAAAATTGTGATACTCAGCCAACTAAGTTCGGCAGCGAAATTAGAATTTTTACGAAATTTACTGGGGCGCGCTTTCTGACCCGCTTCCTAGGACCCCAGTGCTTTCGAGGTATTTTGCCTCATTGGGCAGTTTTTAGTTTCGCTCTTTTTGAATTGTTTCTTTTTCTAGGAATCCACATATTATACTTTTCAAAAAATTTCATGCAATAACAATTTTTTGTCTCCCCTTTAAAATCATGTTTTAGATTTTTTAAATATATGTGTTATTATCATTATGAAATAACTTTTTTTCAAGGTTCTGAAATTTTCCGTCATTTGATCTAACCCATCGATGTTAATTCGAGCAGCAAAGATCATTAGAGCAATTATTTCTATTCTTCAAAATTTTTCTCATTCTTCTGGTTCTATTTTCCGTTTAAAACGTCCGATACGTTTGTTAATCTCTTATGAATGTTATTTTGATTTCTAACAATCTTCGTGCTTTTGTTTCCATGTGTCTTTGCAGACAGTATTTACTCTCATGGAGAATTCTCTATACAGCCAGTTGCAAAAACATTCAGGTCGGAGTGTCCGATATTTTATTAAATTTTTTGTGCAGAAATGCGTGCTAAATCGAGTTCGAACACATTCTACTGGCTGCTGTTACTAGTTTTATCGGTTTTTCTTTTCTTAGCTTCCTCATTCCATCCGAATGATGAGGTACAAATGTATTATTGGGATTCATCTCGATGGATACGGAGTCCGGAACCGTGCTAATTGTTTTTCTTTTCACATATACAAAACTATTCAGAAAAGGAATAACATAATCAAACTGCTACGTCTTCTATAATTTAATAGTATATAATGTGACTGCGGCAGTGTCTGCCGTTTTTGAGCTTCGCAGATTTGAAAACAAACTAATCGTGACGGATTTGTAAGTTTTATTATTATACTACCAGCGAGCTGGTGCGCCTTCAGCGCTATTTAATCTATTTTAAAAATTCGTCGCTCAGCTCTTCACTTTCTCTTAAAAGGTCCTGTAACTCTTTTCAAAAGCCGACTGACAGCATAATTGTAACGGGCCGGGCTTTTTCCCGAATTTCGGAGGCCCGGCCCGGCGTGCCTGTCATTCCACAAGTTTTGAAAATTTCAAAAAACACATAAGGGGACCCTTATGTGATTTTTTTCGACAAAAAAATTTTTTCTAGTTTTTTAAAAATGTTTTTTGATCAAACAGACAAACAATACAAAAAGCACAAAAAATATAGAAATTGTATTGAGAGCTCAGAATTCGGTTCAAAATGACAAAATTTTTGCTACCGGGCTTTGGCGGGCCGGCCCGGAATTTTACAAGTATGACTGACAGGGGGACCAACAGGATTTTTTCTCAGACCACCTCTTTATGAGAAGAGGATTGTTTTGCAACATGTTTTACATTTTACATGTAAATAGCAACAAAAATTAAATAATTTATTTAACGAAATTAATTTGGATTTATGTGATTTGTGGCCCTAAAGAGGGCCGTTGGGTTCGGTTAAGGTTTGAGGTCAAGCTTGCTCAGTTACCAAAAATGTACTTAAGCGCGCTCTCCTCGGATACGTCTGGCAAGCTGGATATCCTTTGGCATGATGGTGACTCGCTTAGCGTGGATGGCGCACAAGTTGGTGTCCTCGAAGAGTCCGACAAGGTAAGCCTCGGCAGATTCTTGAAGAGCCATGACGGCGGAGGATTGGAAGCGGAGGTCAGTCTTGAAGTCCTGGGCGATTTCACGGACAAGTCGCTGGAATGGCAACTTGCGGATGAGGAGCTCAGTCGACTTTTGGTAACGTCTGATCTCACGAAGAGCAACGGTTCCTGGACGGTAACGATGTGGCTTCTTGACTCCTCCGGCAGCTGGGGCCGACTTGCGGGCAGCTTTGGTGGCCAATTGCTTTCTTGGGGCCTTTCCTCCGGTAGATTTGCGGGCGGTTTGCTTGGTACGAGCCATTGCGATAGGCTGATAATCCGATTGGGACTGTAAAGTAATGAGACACAGACGAAACCTTTTGTATCACACTGCGGTGGGTAGGCGGAGTCAAATACATTCGGCAAGCGAGAACGCGAGGTAAAATGTGTCCCCGCAGGGTGGAGGTAACTAACTCCGCCCACCCACCGCAGACAGAACAAAACCGGCACACAGACGACGGAAACTTCATCTCACTTGTGAGTCTTCATCAATCGCTCAACAATGTCCGGACGTGGAAAGGGAGGAAAAGGCCTCGGAAAAGGAGGTGCCAAGCGCCATCGCAAGGTCCTTCGTGACAACATCCAAGGAATCACCAAGCCAGCTATTCGCCGTCTCGCTCGTCGTGGTGGAGTCAAGCGTATCTCTGGACTCATCTACGAGGAAACCCGTGGAGTTCTGAAGGTGTTCCTCGAGAACGTCATCCGTGATGCTGTCACCTACTGCGAGCACGCCAAGAGGAAGACTGTCACCGCCATGGACGTCGTCTACGCTTTGAAGCGCCAAGGAAGAACCCTGTACGGATTCGGAGGATAATTTCCTTCGCATTTATGCAAACCAATCACCGAACCCAACGGCCCTCTTTAGGGCCACAAATAACACGAATCCTAAAATATATTTCCTTGAATAAATTATGATTTTGTTGTTGTTTCTTTAAAAATTTCGCAAAAAATCTACTTGTTTCCAAAATAAATTGATCTGAGCAATCCGGTAAAACTTCGAGCGGGAACAGAAATTTATTATTTACCGTGCGTCTATTCACAAAATCTGCAACCATATGGTCCATATCAAGGAAACTTACCGACGTTTGAGGTCCTAATTCACAAATGCCCTGTCCAGTCAAGTTTTTTTCAGAATCTATTCGCTTTTCCGCATCCGACCCCCAGAATATCAACATTTCAGAATCTCGGGATCTTAGAATTTCAGAATCTTAGAATTTCAGAATTTCCGAATTTTGGTGTTTTGGCTTTTTGGAATTTTACAATTTCAGGATTTAAGAATTTCTGAATTTCTAAATTTCTAAATTTCTGAATTCTGAAATTCAGAATTCTTAATTATGGATTACTGTAGTTCCCGTTTGAAAATTCAGAAAGTTTCATTTATTAAACAGCAATCTGTATGCCCTTTTGAGGGTTACTATTTTGGAAATGTATATGGTTACTGTAGCCTTTTTTTAGTGGTGAAAGATTACTAAATATAGTTTGAAAATCTAAAGAAGCACTGTAGTTGGAAAAAATAGAGGATGATGAAATTTTGTAATTGCAAAATTCTAAGATTCCGGGATTCTGAAATCATGAAGTTCTGAAATTCTGAGATTTCGAGATTCTGAGATTCAGAAATTCGGAAATTCAAACAATTTTGAAATTCTGGGGGTCTGATAATCTGAGATTCTGAGATTCGGAGGTGTCGAGAATGATTCGAATCAGAGATTTCGAGACTTCAAAACTTCCCATTTTTTCAATTCTAAAATTCTTGGTGTTCTGATGGTACACACTGACCTAAATCAAAAAGTCTGGCCTAAATCAAGACGCTGACCTAAATCAAAAACTACTGACGTAAATCTGACGTAAATCTACAATTTCCGTTTTTTTATTACAAAAAATGAACAGAAACTCAGCGTGCTGACAACTTTCATGAACTCTTTTCTTATCTTATCTCCAGATCTGATCTACGGGACCTATATAAGCTGGAGAAATCAAGAAGAAGTCGGGCCGAGGAGCCGATGAGGAGTCCGATTTGTAACGAGTTTCCAGAGCAGCTGGGATGGCAAGGAATCCGATCAATTCTACGAAGACTACTGGCTTCTCTACTCAAGGATGGGATTCGCAAAGGAAGAAGGACGACGTTGAATGCTGTCAACTGCCAGGAAGCTTTGGATGCGCTACTCATTGCTATTTCTTTTTTTAGAAGACTGATCGACGTCATTGAAGTAAAAAAAAGTACTAAAAGGCCTCAGGTCGCCATTGTTTGGGGTTCATGGCTAGGTGTTTATCACTGAACGTCCCCCTTTTACCAAATGAACGAAATCAAATTTTCAAAGAAAATGAAATAGCAATTGACAGCGTACGCTGAGCTTTCTGGCAGCAAAGGAACACACCGACTTCCAACTTCAAACTTTCGATTTGCGAAAATCTCTGATTGAATTTTTTTATTGGTTATAAATTTGTAGAAGTTGAATCCGTTTTGCTCTGTATCTAGGAACTTCTAATTTCCTCAAAAATATGTTGTAACACAAAAGCAGTGATAAAAAACCTACACCAAAGAAAGTCGGACATTGGTTTAGAGGAAACATTTCTTTTGGAAAATTTCATTTTTTCCCAAATTTTGCAAGCTTGCAACGGCTCTAGTTGTGTTTGGTAAAGGGTATCGCTCTGCCTTTTCTAGAGATGTTTAGGTTTACAAATTTAGGACAGATACTTGAGAAATCGAGAAATACAGTAAATGATAAAAACGAAGTTTTATTTGAAAATTGATGGATTCAGAGTAATTGTGGCCCTAAAGAGGGCCGTTGGGTTCGGTGGGGTTGCTATCGACCAAGTATTTACTTGCTGGAAGTGTACTTGGTGACGGCCTTGGTTCCTTCAGACACGGCGTGTTTGGCAAGCTCTCCTGGAAGAATCAGACGGACGGCTGTCTGGATTTCGCGAGAAGAGATGGTAGAACGCTTGTTGTAGTGCGCAAGACGAGAGGCCTCAGCAGCGATGCGCTCGAAGACGTCATTGACAAACGAGTTCATGATAGACATGGCTTTGGAGGAGACTCCAGTGTCTGGGTGAACTTGCTTGAGGACACGGTAGATGTAGACAGAGTACGATTCCTTGCGGTGGGCTCTTCTCTTCTTTCCATCCTTTGGCTTGGTGACGGTCTTAGCGGCCTTCTTGGCTCCCTTGGCGGATGGCTTTGGTGGCATGTTGGAATGTAGAATTGACAATTCATGGGGAAAGGGTTGCAATGAGCAATATTTATTTGCGGCTGCGGTGGGTAGGCGGGGCTAATGGTTTGCCAGGTGGTCATTCGGTGTGCGCGCATAGACGAAGCATGTGTCCCCGCAGGGTGGTTAACGGCGAAGGTCACCCCGCCTTTCCACCGCGCCCTCACGTATATAAAGCTCCCAATACCCATCTTTCTTCAGTTCGTTTACGACCTAAATCGCTCATCAAACAACAATGTCTGGACGTGGAAAGGGAGGCAAAGCCAAGACCGGAGGAAAGGCCAAGTCACGCTCGTCAAGAGCTGGACTTCAATTCCCAGTCGGTCGTCTTCACCGTATTCTTCGCAAAGGAAACTACGCTCAACGCGTCGGAGCCGGAGCCCCAGTCTACTTGGCCGCTGTCCTTGAGTACCTCGCTGCTGAAGTTCTCGAGTTGGCCGGTAACGCTGCCCGTGACAACAAGAAGACCCGTATCGCACCAAGACATCTTCAACTCGCTGTCCGCAACGACGAGGAGTTGAACAAGCTTTTGGCCGGAGTCACGATCGCTCAAGGAGGAGTTCTTCCAAACATCCAAGCCGTTCTTCTGCCAAAGAAGACCGGAGGAGACAAGGAATAAGAACCTTCCAAACACCCCACCGAACCCAACGGCCCTCTTTAGGGCCACAAAATAACGGAAATCCATCTTGTAATTTAATAAATTTTCTTTAAAATTTCGTTGTAATTGGATGCTTTTTGTTGAGGAAGCATATTGTCTATTCAATAAAACGTGGGCGCGCCGCAGGTTGTAAAGTGACACGCCCCTTTATGAAACGCGTGAGAAGAGGGAAAAGGGAACGCGTTCCAAACTCAGCAAATTTTTGGCACATGTGCCGCTGCAACGCGGTAATCGTGCTCATGTGTGCCGTTTTTTGAATTTTTTCTCGAAATCGGGTGAATTTTATCGATTTTTCTTAAATCAAACAGTTTATTTGATTAGGAATGCAACAACAACAAAAAAACAACGATGAGAAAATTCAAAAATGTAGAGAATATTGCGCAGATTGTGTTGAAGATGGCGACGACATTAAGATTCCTCCTCCTCTTCTCCAGCGTCGTGGGCCTTGCTCTTGGCAATGTGTCTCTGAAAGAATATTGTCGAAACAAATTGGATGGAAACTCACTTTTCTTCTTGCGAAGTATCCTTGTGAAGATCCATCGGCAATTATGAATGTTCCTAGACGAAGCTCTTTGCTGAAAATAATTTATTTGTTAAATGAAAAGATTACAGATAACTTACAGAGCATTGAGCTCGAAACGTATTAGTTTGAACGATTTTTTAGCAGACGAAACTTGGACGAATTTCTTCTTTTTAGCCTCTTCGGTGGCATAGTTCTTCAACAATCTCGAATTTCCGAACTCTGACCGATATTCTGGTTCGTCGAACAATTGATCATCGAGTTGAAAAAATTCGAGAAACAACTAAAAAAAATGATTACCAGTACGATCATTAGCCCCGCCTAAATCTGAATATCCGTCTGAACAGTGCATGACTTTCCTAAAGTGTCGAATAAATAGTTCTGAAGTCGTACGTGTGTTGGGAAAGACGCATCCATCAGCGGGATGGAGTCCATGTCAATCTGGCTTCCCTGAAATGCAAATAAGTTTTTATTATCGTCTCTCTGGCTTACCAAAAAGGGTGGGAAATCCGGATAGTTACATCTTAGTTTAACCGCAAACGGAGCATCGGAAATTCCAAACAATTGTTCTCCGGATATTTTCTGGGTCGATTTTTGCTCGCTGAGAAGTTTTTGAACAGCGTTAAGCGACAGCTGAGCCTGAAGCGTTATATTGTACTTTTTTAAACTTTCAAATAAAACATACAACAATTCCATATCCATGGAGAAGAGCTCCAGCCTCTGGGGTCAATCCTGTAAAAACTGATTGCGGAAGTTTCGGGAGTGGAACGTCTAGTCAGTGCCTTGTTCTGATCTCATTTACAAAATCCATTTCATTTGTATCCCAACTCATTTGGTTGTTTTCCTTTTTTAATATTATCTGGTTTTTTCTCCTTTTTTTAAAATAAATTTTATCATAAATGAAGCAACCGGCGATAAAAAAGAAAACAAAATTTGAAAAACGCGCGCTACGATGCTCCGAAATCCCGCCGGCCTGTTCGGAATTAGGTCTAATTCGTTCGTAGTTCATTCGGTGTTCGTTCGGAATTAGATCAGCTAAATTCTGAATTAGATCATGCCACTTCTATTTACGAACGAACCCAGATCTAATTCCGAATGAACACCGAATGAACTACGAACGAATTAGATCTAATTCCGAACAGACCAGCGGGATTTCGGAGCATCGTAGCGCGCGCTTTTCAAATTTTGTTTTCTTTTCAATGCCATTCACTTTGTTTATGATAAAATTTATTAAAAAAGAAAACAGAACAAGTATGAGAAAAAGAAAAACATTGATTAAAATGTAGATATAGGAAATCGGAACGAAAATGAGGGGTGTGATACAAATGAATGAATGGGATCAGCAAAAAAGAAAACGATGAGATCAGCGAGAATAATGGGACCTATGAGATAAGAAAAAGTGACAAATTTATTAAAAAAAATCTCAATTTGAATTCTTCCGCTCGTCCATATTTTCGATTTTGAAAATTCTCTTGTCATAGTTTCCGGTTGTAGATAAGATGGATATTCTTTATGAAATGAATGTCGATTTAACTGAAAAAAGAAGTTTTTGGCTTTGTGATGTCGATAATAAACTTACTTGAGCCATTTCAATATAATTTCCGTACTCAAATCTTTGCAAATCCAAATAAATTCATCAGAGCAGTTGTTTTATACAACAAATCCCAACTTTTTGAATAGTTTTAATCGGGTCATGCCACATTCGGTTGAGAGCCTGCAAATTCACGCATGGTTTTTTGTCCTCCAGACTTTCGAAAACTAACCTGCTCACGGCGAGACGCAGTTTCCGGAAGTAAGACCTTCTCGACTTGTGTAAATTGAGCTCACTATCAGAGAAATTTATCATCTCTTTTTTTCTTGTTTTTTTCGGTGATCCCTTGCATCGTTTTTACGTAATCCTTTAAGCTGAAAAGGGCAAAAAATATCTTACCTGCAGAGTTTTCTCCGAATTTAAAATCTTCAAAATCGTCGTATTTTTGTCGGTTCATAGAATTACTGTCTTCTCTATAAATTGAACTTTGAATATTCAGTTGTTCCTAAAAAAACACCTAAAATTCACCTAAAAATTTTGCAAAAACGTGCACAACACATTAAAATATGATCCAGAAAATATAGTTTAAAATAACCGAGCGAAAAAAGGCAAAAGTTGAGAGAAAACCCCATTTTCCTGACGAAAAAAATTTAGGACAACAAAAAAACAAAACAATTCATCCGCGGCAGCTGAGTCATTGATGGCGCATTTCTCGTGGCAACTTAGGTATTAGATCTAGTCCAGATCTAATTCCGAATGAACTCAGATCTAATTCAGAATTTCGAGTTATTCGATCTAATTCCGAATGAAGTCAGATCTAATTCAGAATCGTTTACCTGAGTGTCTCAAATAAGAGATTATTAAATTAAATCATAATGTGTCTCGTGTGTTCTTAGTTGATCATGGCTTTGTTGCTTTTTCTAGCCATTTTGTTCCTTTTTCTAGCCATTTTGTTGCTTTTTATAGCCATTTTGTTGCGTTTTCTAGCCTTTTTTGTTGATCTCTTCTACTGTTCCCCTCCCTTTTAATCCCACATTGTCATTCTATTTCCTTTTATTCATCTCACTTATTATACCATAAATAAATCGGAATTCAATTTCTTTCAAATAATCGAAACCTAGCATTGGGGAATCGACTTTGAAATGTATTCGCTATTATGTACAATATGCGGCGCATAAGGAATGGCTACTGGATGCATCACGGGTTCGGCGTAATGTGCCCCATATGCCCCGTATATGCCTCATATCGGCGCCCTTTCCCTGTACCCAAATCTTCGGCGCGTCCTCCATCGCCCATCCATTATGCGTATGCGCGCCCAGGACCTGTGTAACCATTCGACCACGCCTCCGCATTTATTCAACGCTTCAAAACTTATATACGTGAGGAAGGAAAATGAGATGAAAAATCCACGTCATTTTTCGAAACTTTCGACCCAATTTTCTCGAAAACTAACGCGACAAAGCACTTTTTGAAAACAGATTTGGAATCAGGAAAATGTCAGCTTTCAGATGATATAGGTTATCACCCGTATCGCCACACCCGAGTTGGGGTCTTCCCTAGTCAGTACAAAACACTCAATTTTTAAAGGAAAATTCACTCCGTGCGAGACAACTGCTGAGACAGATACGCAGACGATTAGTGAAGTCTCGCAGCATAGCACTTCCACTTCTTTCTTGTTTCTCAGCCGCAACTTTAATATATTTGTATTTTAAAATATTTTTTCAGTTGAACCATGACTGGTAGCAAAGAATTGAAAGACGGGTCATCTGAAAATGCTCCTTTAGTATTTATTGGCGGTGGGAACATGGCAGCCGCTTTGATTACGGGATGTGTAGCAAAACGTAATTAAAAACTGAATAACTTTTGTAATTTTGAATTCTTTCAGGTTTCGTCGAGAAAGATCGTGTCGTAATCAGTGTTCGGACAGAAAAATCTGCAGAAAAATGGAGACAAAAGGGATACGTTAATGTATTCACAAATACGCTTGAAATGTTGGAGAAGTATCCGACGGCTATCTACATAATTTGTGTTAAACCTCAAATCTTTAATGAAGTCGTTTCAAGCTGGCCTGTAAATTCAAGACCGAAGTTTATAGTTTCGGTTATGGCAGGAGTGCCGCTTCCAACTCTTAGTGCTAAAGTAAGTGGTTTTTCTTCTCTGGTTGTGATGTCCTATACCTCAGTTATCTCAAATTTCAGCTTCCATTTGTGTCCGGAAACACTACTATTATACGCATGATGCCGAGTGTTGCAAGTTCAATCGGTGCTGCTGCTACGACGATGTGCTACGAAAAGAACGACAAAATTGAAAACCAAGACACCTACATCAAGTACGCTCGTGAGTTTGCAGAATGCATTGGAACTGTCGAAATCATTCCGGAACGGTGCTTCAATCCTGCTATGGCAATTGGTGCAAGCAGTCCTGCATGGACTTTCATGTACATCGAATCTCTGGCCGATGGAGCAGTTGCACAAGGACTAGGAAGAGCTGAAGCAAAAAGAATTGCTGCCCAGGCGGTGTTGGGTGCCGCCCAGATGCTTCTAAACTCGGAGTCTGGGTTCGATATCGAAAAGCAGCATTTCGGATGGCTCAAGGATCAGGTGTGCTCTCCAGGAGGAACAACTATCGAAGGAGTTCGGGCTCTTGAAAAACATGGCTTCCGCTCAGCAGTGATTGAAGCCGTTTCTGCCGCTTCAAAGAAAGCCGATGACATGGCGAAAACAGCTAAATAATGTTCTGTGTTTTTCTCTATACAGTATCTTCAAACAATAAAAAAACTTTTTTGAAAAGAAAACTGAACGAAGAAAATAAGCATGAAAAGAGTAACTAATGTGAAATATTTGTGAATATTGCTGATCTACATGAACTATGAGTAGAAATTAAACTCTAGATCCTTTTTCTAATCCAAGAATTTTCTCTGCCAATCCGACGTAATAAACTGTCTGCGCGATTCCGAACAGTGGCGCCATCACCATCATACGGCAAATGGCTCCCTTAAACAAAGCCTTAACGCCTTCATCCATCCAGATTCGATAAAATGCGTGGCAAATTCCATTGTAGTTGGAGCCTCCAGATTGGATTCTAGTTTTCACGACATCCAACGGGGTGACCGCAAATGACGCCGATGCTCCAGCAGTCAATCCAGAAACAAAGCTTGCCCAAAATACTGCGTCACCTGGAAACGAAAGTTGTTCCAATAAATAAGGTTCTTGAAGTACTACCTGAATCATCTTTTTTTCGCGGCCCGAGACCATCCAAGTATGCAAACAACGGGAAGTATAACGCGGAAAATGATACATCTCTGGCCATGGTTGGCCCAAGTCCTCTGTACAAGGCACGAACTCCTCCATCCTTAGTTAAAAGGTTCCAGATGAGCCTCGTTGCTTTTACTTTGTCTGGAGATTGTTGCATTCGGATCTTCAATAGCTCCATTGGAGTTGTAATTACAACTTGACAGAAACCAGCAGCTGCTCCAGCAACCATCCCGCGTGGCGTTGACAATCGTTCTGCTTGATCTTTCATTAACGAATGCCGAAAGAAGTCGTTTGCGACAAGCTTAATCGCTTTCTCAGGTGTAATCAGAAAAATATTCACCGACGCTCCTTGGTACATTCCCTTTACTTGGTTTAACTTTCCCGGTGCACCGGCTCGCCACGATTTTTTGAAACAATCGACGATTCCACTATATGCAGTGGTACCCTTCTGATTTTGAAGTCGTGTTTTGACAAGATCCATTGGAAAGACACACGAAACTCCAACAATACCAGAAATACCGCCATTGAGTACTTTTGGAAGATAGCGGACTGGTAACTCGTCGCGTTCTTCTTGCAACAGTTCTAACTCGTCAACATCCATTCTGAAATTTTGAGCGTCGACAGAGGACAGAGAAGAGACAAGAATACATTTGGATTCGAACCAGAATTAACCAATTAATATTTAAAAACAAACTTGTTTACTTGAAAATGGGTTCATAAGACAGGGTTAATTATGTCTCGGTTTATATATTTGAACGAGTTGATTATTTGACAAAAAAAGTATGATTGTTATGCTGAGTTGAAAACAAATCCTAGTGATGGCTTATCGATCGGAGTAGAAGAGGAATGATGTGTTGCATAAATTCCGAACATGTGTTGTCCCAGAGTCATATCGTCGGCCTCGCAGTTACGAGCGCCTTCGACCGGATCTTCGGCGTCTACTGAGGCTTGTTCTCTCATATCGTTCAACGGTATGTTCTCGAAATCTTTTTCAGACTCGCGATCAGAACTTTTTCGCTCCGATTTCATTTGATTGAGAGCTTTGAAGGGGTTCAGAATAAATTTACCCTCTCTGATTTTGAACTGTGGAATAGAAATCCATAAGGTGTATCTTATGACGCTGAACATGGTGGCAATAATGACAATCAAAAAGAACACGGCAAGAATGGAGAGAACTGAAAAGGTTTGAATAATGAGTACAGAAAAACGAATAACCACTTACTGATCTCCTTGTCGATCATATCCACATTGCTGCTTCTGGTAGTAAATAACAAGGAATTTCTCGCAGCAAAAATGAGTAGAGAAGAGAAAAGGGACAACACCACGATGTACAAGATAAACCAGGCCCATTTGGCTTTGAAAAACTGCTTGACAGTGGCGGGTTCAAAGCCGGAATAAATAACTTTGCACTCTGAACACAACGGCTTCTCTTCAATCAATGGGCGTAAGCAGCCGAAATGGAACACCTTCCTATAAGTTAATTCCAATGAAAAAATCAGTTGATAAGTTTGTTACCTGCAAAAGCACGGTTTGATTTTGCATCCTAAATTTCTTTCCGAGTCTTTTTGATGTGGTTTGTACTGATGGTTCTTGTCATTGCAAATCATGCAAAGTGGCCCTTTATCTGAACAACAGCCGATTCCATGCTCAACTTTCCTCGATCGGCGGAGCTTCGCTGTTCGTTGAATTGTGCTCTCCTGACCGCAATTGCTACATTTCGCTTCCCCGAACTTCTTTCTATTCCTAGCTGCGCATTCTGTGTGAACGAACATTCTGAAACTCCTTTTTTAGAAAACGAAACAAACGGAAAACTCACAACTGACAATTGCATGGTTTGACGAAATCCATATTGTTTATTGGGCCGCTGATGTTTTTATAGCAGATATGACAGTGTAGAGCTGCAGGGTTTTGAGTATCTTGAAGCTTAAAAATTTTCTTTAAATTTCGAAAATCGCTTGAAACACAAACCTCGTGCGACGACCGTCCTTCGCGTTGACTTTCGTCGTGATGTATAACTGATAATCCTTCTGGAAAGTACTCTTCGACGTTCATCGTCTTCAGTTAGTGTTGAAGTATCGAGATGTGAATTAGTTTCTGAACATATAGCGTTGATTCTTGAGAATCACCGAATCACACGAAATTCTCCATAGATTACGATTTACGGCTGGTCTCGCAACGCAATATGGGTTACTGTAGGTTTTTTGTCTTCCGTCTCTCGCTTTCCAATGATCTATAGCTCGCGTTTAGACAAAAAACTTGTTTTTTTTCGTTTTTGAAACATTTCTTTTTTATTTAGTAAGACATTTGAAAAGGTTTTCAATTTTTCTTCAACAATTATATTAATTTCTAAGAAGCCAACAGCATATTGTAGAAACCCCTTTTCAAAGAATATCATTTTTCGGTTGCTTGTCGCTTGTATCAAAGTCTTTTTGCTCCTTTCTGCCAGTCTTTTTACATGTCACTCTTAACTAATTGAACGGATCGACAGTAAGTACCTGACCAGGAAGTAGATTTTCTCAAAGATCACGAAGAAAATGATAAGGATGCGAGATAGATCGGTAACGCGCAAGCGCTGATCATGTGGTGACGTAGAAAGAAATTCTTTGATCTTTCAATGAGGAAAGATCTTTGAAGAATATTTAGACTTTTTAGAATAAATACCAAATTTTTAATCTACTCGAATTCCGTTTTCAAAAATTTTTTATTGATATTATGAGAAAACTGTCGACCAACGTTGATCTACCGGACCGCCACAATCTCCGCTCGTGTGTAGTCTGATCTGTTGTCTTTTTTATGTTGACGTATTCCAGAAACGATGAAGAAGTGTCATCATCCATCATCCCGTAGGCAACAATTCAACTCCTGTGTTCGGATCTACTTTTGAGTTTAAGTGAGTTTTTCAACTGTTTCAAAAATTGTGTGTGCGTTTAAATAGTGCTGTTGATTGAGATGTCGGTTATTAAATTCAGAAAACATCAACAGAAATACAACTTTATCAGAAATTTTATCTAACATTGCGTATTCATGTTCCACATTTGTTTGTTGGTCTCAAGATACTGATGAGGAAGTGTTTGGTAAACATGAATTTCTTTTTGATATTGCATTTGTTAATCATTCTGGTCAGTTTTGGTAAGCGGAGGAAGAAAATGAAAGAAGCGACCTATGTCCATCAAACTGATTATTCAATATGATAAGCGACCCACAAACAACCTAGATGATAATTCTTCTCGTGTTCTTAAGAGCATCTTTTTGTGTACTCGTGCACTTTCTCAATATCATTTTCCTCCAGTTTGACCAATAAGTTTCTTCCTTTCATTCGGCCAAACGGCCAAAACACAATTCCCACGCTTCTAAACATGTGAGAAGTCTGTGTGTTCTTTTTGGCGCCGGAAGACTGACTGTATGCCTTCTCTCATTTGTCTTCTTTTGTAGAGATAGGACATGTTAGGGCGCGGTCGGAACAGGTGGGATATTCTCTCCCTATTCTAATATCTTTAGTTTCCTTTAGAGTACAAAATGGCGCCTAGAATTCCGGCGCCGTCACCGAAACCTCCAGTCTTTGTTGATTTCTTGGCTTGTTGGTTATGAACCTCCGACTCGTAGTATAAAATCTCACTGATTTGCTTCTTTGCAGACACTCATGCAATCTGAGCCGAATAAAGAACCGAAGTTTCTTCGCGAAGTTTTATCTTCTCTCAATTCAAGTCCGGCGGACGGTATAATATCAGCGCCGTTTTTAATGATGTCAGAGTAAGTCATTCAGGTCACCAATATGATTTAAAGTTCAACCATTTTATTTTCAGCGAATTTCAACGTCAAAATGTTCTCAACTTCGCCATGGGTCTGCTTCGAAAAGCTCTTCTTGATTCGCGAGTAGGATGGGTACTCCGTGCTATGTTCGGTCCAAGGGAACGTGCTCTCACTGCCGAGGAGATAATATCTCTCAATAGTCGCGCGTTTCCTCAAAACTCGAAACTTCCGGATAATTTTCTCGAAATCTTCAAAGGGTTGCCTCGAGTGCCAATGGAGAACATGTTGAGGGAACTCGGATGGAAAGATATTTACAATCTGCAATTAGTAGCTGGTCCATTCACCCAATATGTCGAGTAAGTGTTCGTAAATGTTCTTGAGCATACCTACTAAATTTTCCCAAGCTTCTGGCCCCGGTGCCAAATTTTTTGTTGATGTTGGATAAATTTCTGTTGAAATTATCATTTTGAAGTTTCGGAGCCCAACGAAATTCCATCCAGTTTTCTGATTAAAACATCTGAATCCAGAAAACAAAGAAATGTTTCAAATGGAGACAAATTGTTTATCATAATCACCATACATGTTTTGAATTCCTGGATCCAGTTGGATCGTGCTCGTCAATATTTTTTAAACGGCTCAATTTTGAAGATCTAGCTCGCAACTTGCTCGTATTATATATAAAATCACGAGGGGAGTTTAATAGTATTGGTTGGCGAGCTATTAAACTAACACAGAAAAAGTTTTTTTGCTCGTCAACTCTAATTCCAGGAACTCTTGATATGTATGATAATCATACTCTTTGTCACCAAAAATTTGAAAACGATTAGTAAGACATCACCCTTCCCTTGTAAACTCAGGAATATTTTGTAATCCTGGGGAAAATTGTGTTTTTGTCATATAATCACATTATAACACATTATCAGTCGAATTTAAAAACTGCTTGAACCCTATTTTTCAGAAATGGTCGGCGTAACTATCCTATGAATGAACTGGTGCAAGGAGCGGTCAAGCTTAACGGAACAGAGTCGGTGACGGTCCTGCGATTCAATAGAAGGTGGGCTGGACCTTGTCGTGCTCTTTTTATCTTTTACCCTTCAGACTGACCATCAACCATGAACAGTTTTCCAAGAGTTTGCGGACTGTGAACTTGAGAACTTTATTGATAAAACAAGCAGGAACAGTTCGTGCTGCATCATTTCATATTCCGGAACTACGATGCTTCAAACTGGAAATTCGTTTCTATCGTCCAATAGATGAACAACCAGAGGCTGAAGAGTGAGTTATCTTTCTCTCTGTAAATACGATATGTTCGGATTTCTTTTCAGCGAGCTGGCCCAGGTGATGGAGCAGATTATTGTCAACCCGCACATCTCCCACCTTAATATCATCTGCAGAAGATTCGCAGAGTCATCGGACCTGTCTGATCGCTTATATGAAATCGCTCGACGAGGACCGCATCTCACTCCAGCGTTGACCCATATTTCTATTATTCCTCCATAACTTCTCTAAATTTATGTGTCTTCCTCATTATCTCGCCTATCAGTTGCATCCTGATTATTCTTGCCTAAAACTTCCCATTCTGTATTATTGAACTTTGGTGATAAATTTTGCCCATCTTCTCAATTAACTGCTGTGTGTATGATCTGAAGATGCGCGTGCAGGATGATTTATCTTGCAAAGATTACCAATGAGAAGTAGATGTAGGACAACATTGAGCTTCAACAAGTACTACGATCATCTGCTTGTCACCAAATTTCCGGAAACCATAAAAAACTGACTTCAACTACAAACTCTTTCGATTTTTGAAGATATCAAGTCAAAATTTTTGGCTACAGTACTAGCAAGCACACAACACAGTAATCGGTTCAAAACTTTGTTTGTCTTAAAATCTTTTCTTACTCATTGTTTGAGCTTTATCGTTCAAATGCTAATAAAAATGAAACAACGCTCCAAACAAAGAGATGATGTGATCTAGGTTTGCAATCACACAATCTCCACAATATTTCGTTTTTGTCAAATACGAAGAAACAATAAAAAAAAGAATAAAGTGGGATGAGATCATCGTTATGCACATTTTCAGTTTAAAAGAGTCACATATTGTTTGGCAAATTCATTCTTTCTCTTTTTTCAACTTTTTGGCACTTCAGCAGACATCGAATAAAGGGTTTCAATTCGAAAATATTCCTCAAACCACATTATTATCCTGGTACAAAAAATCTGAGCTTCGGAAGAGAAAAGCCGGTGACCGTGGCCGAAGGTCCCACAGCAACAACTACCGTAACCTAAAATATTCTCGCTTTTTACTGCTTGCCGTCGAGTTTTATGTTATTTTCCCCCAAAAAATTGGAAAACGTTATACAATTTTTCAATAGTTAAAAAATTGACTGAAAACGCACAAAAATCGAGAAATTAAATCCTGACAGTATTATCCTTGTCTGAGAAAAAAAGGTTGAGACGCAGAGAAAAAGTGACTGTGTCTCCACCTTATGTGTGCTATTTAGGCTCTCCGCTTCGATATCGCTACCGTATTCAGACTGCAAAAAATACTCTCTAACCTTTTTTTTCTCAGACAAGCATAATAAGGATATTTTGGGTTACGGTAGTTGCCGTTGTGAAACCTTCGGCCACTGCCACTATTTCACAAATCCGATTTTTTGGTATCAGAATAATAGTATCTATTTTTAACTTACATAGTGACTTTGGTTTAGGCGAGAAATTTTGTTTTCTGTTGAAAACTTTCTCAATTTAGTTCATAACAGAAAAACGACTGTTTTCAAACGAAGAATTTCATGAAAACATTTCACAGTCTTAACGACTGGAATTAGCTAAAAAATAAAACTTTTTATCTCTATCAGTCGTCTACCAGACCCATCCTGGATATTAGGAATAGCTATCGACGAGTTTTAAGAACTAGCAAAGATCAGGTCAAATCTGAAATCTTAATTCGATGTCTGGTTACTGCCTAGTCAAAATATTGTTCTGCTTTTCAGAATGAAGTACCTTCTTCTTCTTCTATTCCTACCCACTGTCTCATCTTTCTTGTACAAATTGAGCGATGCTGAAAAATGTGCGCTAAAAAGTATAGGAGTATTTGGATTCTCACAATATTTTGAAGTACCTATGAAAGACGACGAGGAAACCGTCTTTCAACTTTACACGATCAATAATGAGACTTTGTACGACTCTTAATTCTATTTTATTCAACCAGATTATTCTCAGGGTTTGGCCTACCGATACCAAGATTTCTAACTTCACTATAGATACCAAAGTCAGTCCAAGTATTTGTTTCAATCACGGACCAAACAATATCTCAGGACTAATATATTTGATCAAAGAGGGTAATTTCTTATCACTTAATACAGTATTCTACTATCAACTGAGTTGTAGAATTTGGGGATATGGATGTCTATCATACATTCTCTGAAAACGTCACAGTTCAAGCTACCAAACAATTTACTGTTATGTTCTCAAAAGATGGAAAAGGTTTTACACTCGGTGATTTCCAAACCGATTCAGTGAGAGTTCCAAGTTAATAAATTTGAAAAGGTTGAATGTTCAGAAAACCATGTTCCAAATCTACTCTGGACTTCCTGATGATACTCACTATCTTCTTTACAGCTACGAGTACGCTGAATGTCTTTGGAAAGAACTTATATTTTATTTATTGCAGCTCTACAATGGGTCTGGACTCAATTTTTATTCAAGAAGAATACTTCTTCGTCAACAACACTGGCAGCAAGACATTGACTTTCACGTTCACAAACAAGACAGGTTAGAGAAGTACCAATTAAAATGTTCTGCAAAGCATAGTTTAAGAGATTCCCTCCGAATTTGTTGGAAATGGACTTGTTATGGCTCCTGGATTTCCTACGAAAGCAGCTGATGGAGATTACCTCGACATGACAATCAAAATGGTAAAAGATGATACAACTGACAGGCTCCTCAATGTAAAGGTTTAGAAGAATAAACACTCTGTTTCGTTTATTCAATATATTAAGGTGACCACCATTAATCCTGCAGCAGGCACCGTTGAAAATTTTGCAAAAGCCATTATTTTAGATGAAACTCCAGGTGCAGGTGTAACAATCACCGTTGAAGGACAAACGCGATGGTAAGACACCATATAAGTTGCAATATGACTTCTTTCTCACAATCCCTTTTTTTCAGTTTTGTCCAAGCTACTGGCAAAGAAACAACTGAACATTGCAAGCTGAATTTTCCGCATAAGACCGAAAGTTTTAAAGTCAAAGCTGATAATGCTGCATATATCATTCAGTTCGAAGCAACAGGTACTTTGAAATATTTTAGTTAATTGTCAAAAAATCGTACTTGAGAAATACCACCTACGACGGTATCAACCACGACTGAAGCATTAACGACACTGACAACTGCAAAAGGCGCAACCACCACTAAGACATGCCCTGCTTGTCCTACGGTAACAAGTCCTGTTTGTCCTACGGTGACAACTACTGTTTGTCCAACAATAACATGTCCAACAACAATAATATCTACAACTACCCCAACTATTCCGACAACATCAGATCCATCTACGACTACAATGGGATCTTCCACTTCTTCTGTGGCTTCATTAATCTTAATCACTTTCATTTATTCTCTTTTCTAATCAAATGAATAAAAAGTCACGAAACACTTCTAACAATTTGAAAAATGCGCAATGATTCATCTTCTGCCTTGTTACTTCTATTAGACCAAAAAACATTCTTCGAAGATCCGACCGGATTGAAGGAGGAGGCAAGCCTGAAATAAGACACCTCTATTTCTGGGATGTTTGAGTAAATTTTTACTATGGTTCCCAATCCATGCCAAATGGCAAACTATGTTCAGAAATTCGGGCATCCAAAAACATTGAATGTATACATAAAGAAAACATGCGATGAAGTGACATGTGCATACTGTCAGACATTGATAAGTGACCTGAACATTTACAAAGGAATAGTTCCCATAATAATCGAAGCCTTACCCTTTTAACTAAAACCGAAGTCTGCTTGATTTGACTTTTCCAACTTTTCATTAACAAGTGAGAGCAGATTATCAAATAACAAAATCCAATAAAAAACATCAGAAAAATATTATTGAAAGCATATGCATCCACAGTATAATACTCACTGGAAAAGTTTTTGGTTGCTTCACTCATTGGATTCAAAAGAAATGCAGACACTGAAGAGTTAAAGAATGTTTTGTGAAAAATGCGAAATAGATAAAATATGGGATTGGTAGAGATAAGAGAAATTTAAGACGCCATTTCCGGAACAGAAATGCACATTTTTTGGTTTAAAGCGGCTCACAAACTCTGTTGAAAGCCAGAAGAAGCACATACATACAACTCATATGCCAAGATCCTGAAAACAATTCAGAAATATCATAGCTTTTGGTCTGATTGTTTTTTGGTTTAGAAAACTATTTTTAATCAGCGAAATTGGAATCCTTGTTTCAGACTATTCATCAGAGCAACCATCTAACTCACCGAAACTAGACATCCAGTGATATAAGTGAAATTAATCAAGTAGCACGGATGAAGACCTTTAATCGAGTAAAATCCAGCAAAATCTGCACAGAAAATAAGACTAAATATGTCTGGAATCCCACGGAAGAACATGATTTTGTAGCAAGGTAAAGGGAAAAGAGTTATTGATTAAAATATAGTACGCAAAACTAGCAAATATACAATTTGAGATATCAATCCAATAGTCATGTAAACAACTCCTATTATTGGTTTTGATTTGGTGTATGGCGATGTTCCATTGCAGTTGTAATAATATGTGCTGCAAGTTTTATGTTTGTTAACTAGATCCTACTCAAAACGTTTTCTGGCTTACTCGATACCAGTTCCAGAAGAAAAGATGTCGTAGAACATACTGTACCTGGTCACTTGGTCAGGCACGAATTCTGAATCTAGACGTTTTCAAGTATGACGTTCTTAAATAATAAAATTACAGATTATTATCAAGAGAGCGTCTGAAGAACTCGACAGTTAATGGTTGGATTTTAGAACTTTTGGCTACTTATATGCAGACAAAAAGAAAAACAAGTTCTGAGAAAATTAGAATATGAGAGTGTACTTGACTAATTCAACAAAATCTTTGGGAAGCAAAAAGCGAACAGGAAATAAAAAATTCGGTTCGGTCCTATTAGTGAAACAAATCAATTTCTTTTTTGGGAATCTCAAAAATATTTTTCTCTAGAAAGTTCATAGAGCCTCTAAATGGACAAAAAACAATAGGAATGCCAGAATTTATTGATGGAATAAAAGGAAACAATTATTTTCTTCCCCATCCAAGTGGAGTTGGTGGACGGTTAATGTTGTGAATGATTCCAGCTGGATTTGGAATGTAATTGAAAAGTCCTGGTTCTTCAATTGGAGACGGTCTTGGGAACAGAGATGGCTCAAAGTGCTCCATTGGATACCACGGAAGGAATTGCTGAAGGTTTTTTTGTTTGGGGAATGAAATAATGTTTGCTTAAATTACCGCAGAAACAGCGCAAATGGCGAAGAGAGCCAAAAAGCAAGTAGAGAAGAAATGCATTGCCGAAGAAATTTTTCGATGTTTCAAATAAAATTTGGTTGCTTTTTATACAAGGATTTTATCGCATCCCTCTGATTGGAAATGAGCGATAAATAGGGGTGCTCTCTGGGAAGAGATGACCCCTCAAAGTTTTGCAGAGTGTTTTCAATATATCGCAACTTAATAATTTTCATAAATGCTCCTGGACTCCTAATCACCAATATTTCATTTCATTCAAACTGCCGTAAACGCTGTAGTAGAAGTCCGCCCTATACGTTCGCTTTATGCTCAAATATCTCGGTTCCATCAAAAATATCCAGAAATCTTCGATTGAAAAACTGTTTATCATAGTGACTGTTTATCATAGCTTATCATAGGGACCGTTCATCATAAAAACTGTTTATCATAGCTCATAGGAACCGAGATAATTGAGCTCAGAGTGCACTGGGCTTCTTTGAAGTATTCAGAATGTTCGATGATAACCTGAAAATTTCAGATGCAACAACACGTCATCCGAGTTATTTCTCCCATAAAACTGTTCCCCGTTTATCATCATTCATTGATAAACATTTGAACTTTTAGTGCGTTGACTCACAGACAGGTCGATTCGTCTATAAATTTGATCACTTTAGGCGTTGTCATTTTTCGATCACTTTCTAGGTTTTCAATATTTTCTTCTGAAAAAAATATGAATCTTGCGACTGTACTATTTTTGCTATTCGTTTCTGTCCAATCAAAACTTCACATTTTTGATGCAAAAGTAACACAAATTCCTGCACAAAAAGGAACTAGAATTTATTTTCCCACAAATGGAGACGAAGCAAGTCTGAAATTAATCACAGTGAAAGCAGAGAAAAGCCAAATTGACACCAAGTACGCAAATTTTGTAAATTCTTCTCGAATTAGTTATAATCTATGATTTCTATTTTCAGCATCTTTGCATTTTCTGTTCCTCGAGCGGATGGTTCGTTGAATCCACTCGTTGTAACTGCTGATGATGATACCGTAGTCGTCACCAGACCAGATGGTGATACAACTCCAGTCACTCTTTTTCAAGATAGAGTAACAGAAAATTTGAATGTGTTTCCTGTTTTTGAGAACAGTGCACTACAATTCAAAGCTGGAAAGAATGTCTATTTAGCAGTCGACAAACCAAATGGAAAAATTTTGACGATCCAGAATCTGAAAGTTGATAGACAAAAGGATGGATATCTGCGTGCGTACTCCGGAGTTCCAGGAGATTTGATTCCAGAACCGTATTTGTTCTTCACCAGTGATATTTACATCGAGTGAGTTGCAAATTAAGGCTAAAGGAACTTTTCTGTTCAGTATAACATTCTATCAACAACTTGACATTCCGATCTACGAATTCTCATTGGATCCCGTTTTTGATGGAGTCAGCTATACTGTTGGATTCGGATATTGTAATAAAAAACTCTCTGAAATAACATAATAATGTGTTTCAGTGACTAAAACGCTGCAGTCTTCTGGATTGATAATGTCTCCGGGATTCCCAATCACTCAACAACCAAGTGATATGTCTTTCAACGTGAATAGAAAGGGAAATGAAGATATTTCACTTCACATGAATGTAAGAATCAGTCGTTGACTTTCACAATAAAATTGAAAAAAATTCAGACATACTTCTACAGATCGCTCTCTTATAACACTGAAATCACTGTAAGATTCGGGTTTGGAGTCGAGAACGTACAATCGTAAGTTAAAAATCTAATAAGCCACTTGACATTGTAAATTCCGGAAATTCAGATTTCCATCAGGACTAAATGGAAGATTGGGTGCTTCTGGAAAAATTAACAGCGTTGAAGTGTCCTCAATAGGTGCCTATGCTCTTCAATATTGGACAAATTCCACTGCGACGAATTCGGAGGGTAGCACGATTCCAACAGGACAAGGAACAACACCATCAGTTATCACAACTACTAAATCTTCTTATTTTATGTCTAACAGTCTTTCTATTTTGACAGTAATCGTATCATTGTTGATAGGATGTTGAAAATTGTTCGATTTTTGTTTTTTGAATGAAAATTGGTGCTCATAAAGTTTTAATGACTGGAAACGCCTAAAATACTAGTTAGTTTATTCAAACGGACCGAACTATAATTCAGAAGAATTTGAAGCATCCCGAAAATCAAAAACTCCCGTAGAAAAAACAAACCTATACATTTCTATATCTCTTTTGACTTCCGTTCGTTACAATTTAACCGAAAAAAATCGTGCCGAACAAAAGCATTAAAACAATCAAAAGAAAATGTTTATTGACTTTTGACAATGGTCACTTTCCGGTTCCTCGAAAAACGAAAAAGTATTTATGGCCTTGTGAAGTTGAAACTTTGTTTACCCATGCCCTCTTTTAACTAACGTAAGAAACTATTTTTGTCGGCTAACCATTGAAAAAGAATTCATAAAATACTCATAGTTTCATTAGTGGAACCGACCGTAACCCGTTATGAATAAATTCAAATACAGTACAAATTATGAAAAAGTTAGAATCGAAGAATGGCTGTCATCAGAAGAGAGGCCACGATTTGTGGGAAGCTGGACGATTTGGTGGTAGTTTCGACTGGAGATGGAGTTGTAGCAGTGGTGTCTCTCAAGAAATACTGAATTGCGTATGGTCCATCGGATTCAATTACGATTCTACTGATTGGACTGTTCGACGTGATGTTGGATTGACCATATGAGATCATTGGGAAGATTATTGGACCAAGGGTTTCTGGAGTTGTGAAAAGGGTAATGTTTCCAGAATATCCTGGAGCGCTAGTGGTGTCGAATCTTGGCTGAAATTTATTTATTTTTAATTGAAAATGTTTTTGAAAAGGCTAACCACAAAGTAGGCGTCAACGTTGATTCCATTCTGATTTTTCAAATTAAAATCTCTGGTTTCATAAGCTCCATTTGGAAATGCATTAGTCATCAGAAGTCCAGAAGAACCAATGGTCAAGTTTTTTCTAGCAGCATAGTTGATTTCATACTTAACACTGTTACTGGAAGAAGTGAAATAGAATCTGTCCAGAGGAAGTTCAAGTTGATCGTATGTGGTGACCCTTAAATGGAAATTTGAAATTCTCAGTTCTTTTGAGAGTTATCTCACGTGCTAGCGTTGAAGAATCGGCTATCGAAGAATTGGACAGGGCTGACGTCTTCTGGGAGACCAACGAATCCAGTGAGAACTTCACTGCTTCCGACGAAAACATTTTGAGCAACAGGAATTAGTCCAGCTGGAGAACTCATCTTGAAGACAACATTGGTTCCTTGTTTGTAGTTAATCGGCTTGTTTTCAAAAAGTGGGAAAACATTCAAGTTTGGTGTGACGGAATTCATGTAGAGGTATCCTCTAAGATTGTTGGTGGCTCCTGTGAAATAGACACTGACCATATCGTTGTCTTGAGTTGGGACGAATGGGGTGAGAGATCCGTCAGTTGAAGCTACAGAGAGAGTGAAGGCACTGAAAGAAATCAGGAATACTTTTGAGAAAAAAATTTAATGTTTTACTTGGAATTCTGATCCGCGTTTTTAGTGATGATCGTCAGAGCTTGAAGATCTTCTTGCGGGCTGTCGGAGATGATAAAAATCTTATAAGTTTTGTTCACTTCATAAAATGTTTTTTGTGCACTGAACGTGCTTAATGGAACAATAGATGCTCTGGAGAAGGCAGCAAAGGCAAGCAGAGTGAAGAGCAACATTAGGAACTTGTCCGACTGGGAGAGTAGAATAGATGAGAATGTCTGCAATCAAGTTAGTGGAGGAATATTTATACAAGTGTTGACATTGGTGATAATTCAAGGAGCTGAACAACTTCAAAAAGATAAAATTGAGGAGGGTGGTAACACCCACACTAAAAATTTGAAGTATGATAAGAGAAAAAATATATGAGTCACTTAGAGGTTATGGGGTACGGAAATGCGAACGATTTTGGGTAAGGAAAAAGAGAGGTGAGAAAAGAGAATAGCCAGACGATCGCAAATGGCTGGACACCCCATCCATTCCTCCGTGTATTTGCATTTTCTCTTTTGTGTCTTCGAAAGTGAGTCAGGACGCACCTGGCGCCCCGGTCCGCTAGCGAGCAGGTGTGAACGATTGCGCGTTTTTGTTGAGGTTGTGTGAAACGGAATGGTTTCTGGTTGGAGCTAGATTTCAACAGATGGAAACAAAAAAGAAGACGAATGAGGAAAATGGGCGAGAACGAGGGAAAATGAATGGACGTAAAACTCCCAAATTGTTCATTTGGGCTAGATAGAATCTGTATGTAAAACAAAAGAGATTGGGTCAAGAATATAAAACGAAAGAAGGTTTAGAGAATTTATGAACATCTGGCAATCAATATGGTAGGATGTGAAAAGGATGATGTGATAGGTTGAGAGTCCTCCAGGTAAGTTTGCATACATTAATGAACCATGAAGTTCAAACAGAATAAATTAGCATCAAGAATTTCGATCGAGATCGGTTCCGTTCAATTGGTTCACCTTTTCAAAGTTCAATGATCTGAAACCAAAGACTTGATTTGTTAATGGAGAATTTTTCAAAAGGGTTTTCACGAATTTTTTTCTGTTGAAATCGAAAACGACTGTTTTTGTACAAAGAAAATCTAAATGTTGAAATTTGAAACTTGAAACCGTCTTGTGTTGTCTGTACAGTTGTTACGACTCATGCTTCTGGAGTGGGAATGCGCAAAAAAACGGAAGCTATCTAACTTTTCAATGTTGATGTAATATTGAGATTCTGAGGAGCTAAACAGGATCTCCCAATGTGGCCTCCGGTTCGCTCCCATTAACCTCCCATTCCGGGTAATTCCCAAATGCGATTGGTAATTCCTGAAACCTTCGATAACTCCCATATTTCGGGGAGAGAATTCGAGGCGTCTCCCTCATCGGTGACGCCCCGAATTGGTCGAGTAACTCTCTGAAAATTACCTAAAAACGGAAGTGTTTTCAAAGGGGCGTTGAGAATTTGCTGACATTTTCAGTACTTATAATTTGAGTCATCTCCTATACGATGTCAGAAATATCTAGTTCACAGTTTGATGAAGTAGGAAGCTGCAACGAAGAATATAAAAACAACACAAAATAGAAAATCCTAAAATTCGGAATCAAGCTTCAGAACTTGAAATCTTCATTAAATGTTTCCTACCAAAACAATTGTGAAGGCATTTGTTTGAGCGGGAAATTTTCATTCAACCTGTTTGTTTTTCATATAGTTTTTTCGAACAAATCATGAAAAAAACTAGGTAGCATAAGGTTGGTTTTTAGCCGCTATCTTGCACGACAAAAGCAAAAAACTGAAGTCAGGGATGGCAGTTGCATGATTCCCAAATTCTGGATTTAGAAAAAGAGTATGTAAGCAATGTTCCTTCAACTCCAAAGATATTTTAAAAGTGCTAACGGTTATTCAATAAAACATCGAAAAATGTAGATGTTCAGTTTTTCTCTTTCATAATCAGTGTATCACTCATCAAGTTACTCAAAACAACCGAAATAAGCCTCGATACAGAAAAAAGAAAACGAATTGAAGATTTCAATTGAATAGACTTATGCCGGTGTTAAGTCTACCCTGAATTGTTCTAGACTTTCGATATTGGACATTCTGAATACTTTTTTGTTTCTCAAAAATAATTATTCTAATTGTGTGATTATTCATGAGAAATATGTTTTGGAAACCGTTTTTTTAACTTTTTTTCGCGAATAACCTCATTAGTTTTGTAAAGAATAAACCATCTCTTGAGAAAACAGTGCCATCACCATCGTCCAAGTTTACCGTTTCAATAAGGACATATGACAATGTTTTTGTTTCCATTTTTACGGCTACTCCCATATTGTTCTCGATACATTGTTTCTATTAGGTTGGCGGGAAAGTCTTTGTCACTTTTTCAATAGTTTATTTCTCAAAGAAAAAATAACCGAATAATTAATTATATTGTCCATCATTATCAACAACATGTCTCCAACGTTCCCTCAATTTATGGATTCCATTGCGGTAGAATCCAGCCGGGCGTGAGGCAAAGTATTGTTTGAGTGCCGCTTCGACCGCTCCACGGGAATTGAAGCTTCTTCCTTCGAAGGCACGTGTCATATCGCCAAATAACCAATAGTCGGAAGGAGCAAGATCAGGAGAATACGGGGGGTGAGGGAGAACATTCCATCCATATCCCCTCAGCTCCTGCTTCACTTGTTTCGAAACATGTGGGCGAGCGTTATCATGTTGATAGTACACTTTCTTGTCTTTCAGGGCCGAACGGTCGACTGCTTTCTTGAGGTTTCGTAGTTGATAGTGTAGAGGTCTCCAGTTATTGTTTTGCCCTCGGGCAGAAGTTCCCAGTAGATGGGGCCGTCCACTCCCCACCACACAGAGAGCATAACTTTTTTCGGATGAAGGTCGGGTTTGGGGACATCCTGTGGGCTCTCTCCTTCTCCAACCCACTGGGATTTCCTGTGGTGATTATCGTAGAAGACCCACTTCTCATCTCCGGTTATTAGCCGGTCCAGCCATCGATCGCCCGCGTGGAGAGTGAGAAGAGTAATCGAATCGTCGACTCGGCGGTCAAGGTTGGCTTGAGTCAGGTGATGAGGTATGAATCGACCAAAAAGTTTTCTCATTCCAAGAGACTTCAAACCTTCAAGGACTGTGCTATGGTGAACTCCGAATGTGACAGCTAGTTCACGGCTAGATTGAAATGGATCCGATTGCAATGCGTGCTTCAGCTTGTCCAAATCCAACTCACGGGGTCTCCCAGAGCGACCCTTTTCATCGAGCGAGAAGTCATCTTTTTCGAAACGATGGAACCAATTGCGAATAGTATTGTAGTGAGGGGCATGTGTGTTGTACACATTCTTCAAGAAAGTTTCCGAATCCTTCATCGTGGTGTGAGCTAGGAAGAGGTAAATCAAAACATGTCTGATGTGAATAGCAGTGGGAACAAACATATCGTTTCAATTACAGATGAGGAGCAGGGAAGGAAATGGGGACTTGTTTATATGGAAGGTTCTTATCACCTTGTTATTCACTAGAGTCGATATCATACACAGCCTCCATATACGAGAACAGTGATTAAACAAACAGAGTGACAAAGACTTTCCCGCCAACCTAATACTCCCGTCACCTTTATTCCCTTCCCTCCAATTGCCTCATCAACCGTGTCAATTATGGTCCGATGTCCACGTATGTTGCCACTTCACACATTCTACTTCTCTTTCTCTTCTTCTTCACCCAATTTCCCTCCACATTCTCAATTTCCCTCTATTCATCCCGAACAAGTCTGTCATCAGATGACAATCCTTATCAAATGTTCGCATCTTCTCCAATTTCGAACACACTCACACTCCTGTTTTCGAGGTCACTCTTGTCCGGTAAACATTGCATAATTGAATAGTCTAAACTTTTCATTTCTTCTAGTGATATCAAAACCCCTCTTTTTCATTTTCATGCCTTTTCCCGTCTAATTTGGATCAAGTTACATTTGGAAAATTGATAGTTTTGGATGTGCCAGAATACGAGGAAAACATAACAAGCCTCTTTTTTTGACTACTCCAACCTCAAATAAAATGTATAGATGCAATTTTATTATCTGTTCGTAAGAGACCAAAAATCGTAATTAATGAGTTTACTTTCGTTTTTCTTGAAGGTTAAAAAGGTGAAGTCCTCGTGTCCAGATGTTTGAAATATCGAAATTTCGAAATACTTCCTATGCCTTGAACGGACGTTTCATGTGATATGAAACATTCCCAATCAGTAGCAGCAATCTTTTGAAACCGAGAGTGCAGCCACCAATCTGTCTGTCTCCTCGCTCAGATTTTATCGACTGATATGATAATATCATATAATGATCGGTGTTCACAGCGCATGGCTATCGAGTTTGCCGAATTTTTCGGCACCATAGCTCAGCTGGTAGCAACACGGCACCCTAACGGCGAGCCAACACTATCAACTTCTCGAAAAAAAAAACCTTTTCAACTTTAAGCTCAATGATTACAATTTCTGTAAAAGATGCAAGAGAACTGTTGATTCTTGAATTGTTTTGTTACATTATCAGAAACATTTTATCAGTTGAACATTTTTTGAAATCTCTCATAGAAACTGAGATAATTGAGCTCAAAATAAAAGTAAAGAGCGGGCATTTGTGTTTCTCGTCAAAATAATTTAAAATATATCGAAAATACCACATGAGAGCCAAATTTTCTGTTCCTTTGTTCTTGGAAATTAAATATATTTTTATCATAATTTATGTAGAGTTTTAGAATACTTCGAACGAACTAGATGAATTCTTTCCTTGAAAAACGCAAGAGATGTCTTCTAAATATTCCATAATCCCTGTCAAAATGTCATTTCCAAATCCTGTTCTTATTAGTATAAGAGTTCACTTTTAATACGACTACTACTTGCTCTTCAATTCTATATTCTTCGTCTTCTTCTTCTTTTCTTTCTTCTTGTCACTTCCAGGCAATTCCCTAATGCATTCCCTCACCTCTTTTTGCCCTTCGCCCATTCCTCCATCTCAACCAATTTCGTTCTCAAATCGAATCCGAAAAAGTGCTTTCCCTTCCCATTTTCTTCGCGCACCACCAAAATTTTTCAAAATTGACGAAGAAAGAAAAAAAAGCAGACATTCTTGTGAGCACTTTATCGAGACGCAGACACACCAAAACGGGGTCTTTCTAAAATGTGGAAGATTTTCATTCCGAAGGCGTGCCAGTGGTTTTAGTTTGTGTTTGTAGTCGGAGAAAAGAAGAAGAAGACGTTGGGACATCATCCTCGTCCTCGTGTATATCTTCTGCCCAATTGAGCACGTTTCCGTTAGATTTATTCGTTTAACAACTGCTGCACCCATCCCATTTCTTCTTTTCAACAATCAAACATTTTCATTTCCTATTCACCTAATCCGAATCGAATCGGTGTCACTGTCTGTTGACTCTTCGGACTTGACTTGTCCCTAGCTGCTTTTTCGTTTTTTCGTTTCTTGTTCCTCAAACTTCCTGCAAAAAACTTTTACAATTTTTTCGAGATTCCCAGGAGGAACAAAAAAGACAAAAAAGGCTCCGAGTGAATTATAGCAAGAAACGAATTCTCTTTTTCTCTTCCTTTTTGTTTCTTCGTTTCCCCAACAGCTCTCTTTTGTGTGCTGCTTCAGCCCATACGGATTAGGAGAAACTTGTCTTGCATTTCGAGGTCAAAATGAGTTTTTGTCAAGAATAAGATAGAAAAAAAAGTGAGTGACATGACCCCTCAACTCCCATATGTTTATATATGTATTTCTTTGCCTGTTTTATACACCACCCAAAAATTTTTGAATTATTTTTCCCGGTTTCGCTTGATGAACCTTCTTTTTATGAGTTTTTCATGCGTTCTTCAAAACCCAAAGGCTATAAATTTCAAAAAAAACCGAATGTTTCACAATCGGGAAAAATATAAAAATGGGTTTCAAAGTTTTTTTTCGAAACAATAGATCAGCTTGAAAAGTTAGAAGTGTTGGTGGAAGCTGAATTGAATAAAGTTATGACCCTTTATTTATTTCTGGTATTTTCTGCAAATTTATAATTTTGAAATTGCACCTCATGAGCGCCCACCTCATCAAATTTCTGTTCTCTAAATCTGAACTCTCCAGATGTGCACGTCACTTTGAAATGTACACTCTAGATTCATGCCCTTCTCCTTCAAACTCATTGAATAATTTATTTCAAGAAGATATGCACTTAACTGCCTTCTTTCTTCCTCTATATACCTATTCCGTTTCCCACAACTAGTACCTCCTTCTTCGTTTATTTTTACGATCTGAAAACGGAGAAAATTGTAGTCTTTCTCCACTGAAGTCGTTCTCTTCGAAACCTCATTTTCATGAATTTCTAATCTTCTTTTTGTCTTCTTTTTCCTCCGGGTTCTTCTCCATTTTCCGTTGTATGCGCCTCGAGTACGCCAAGTTCGAATCGTTAATTACTTTTTGCCGCCTTTCGCTTTTTCTTCTTCTTCTTGTTCTTCGTCCATTCTCACTTCTTCTGTTTTCTTTTCTAATCAGCTCCATTTTGTTTTCTCTAAATCTCTTTGTCCTACACACTCTTTCACCTATTACATATTTATCCAGATTATTCTAATCCGTGTTAGGCTTCAGGTGCCAACAAGCTTTCTTGCATAAATTAGATAGCGGAATGTTTCAAAAGAGAGAGAGAGAGAGAGTGTGTGTGTAAAAGACTTTAGAAACGCAGACACCAGACACCATATCCATTTTTTGGAAACAGAGAGGACGTTCGAACAGCGTCGTCATTACTCCTTTTTTTCTGGTTTTTTCTGTGGTCTCGTCTGTTTCCCGTTCGTTTCTATTTCTCAAGTATTTTAACTTTGAACACATGTTTTTTGCATTTAACTTTCAAAATGACGTAGAATGAAAAGGATTATTTCAGGTTAGCCAATCTCCAGATTAAAGAGACTTTTGTGGTTTTGTCTACCTGTTATTCCAATATCTATTAGTTTTTGATGTAACTCATGCATTACAGAATTGTTGACCGAACTGGTTTTCATGAAAACCAACAACTTTTGAAAAGATAGACATTCTTGATTTCTCAGGTTACAAAAACGATAACATTTCTGAACTACCATTTTCAAATCTCTGCATATTTTATATAATGACCTAATAAAAGTTCAATTCTACTTTTTTTTCCAATTCACTACTAATGACCAGAGCAGCACTTTTCAATGCCACCTGCCATGACTCATTCTCGCATTTCCCCTACTACCCAGGCATTCATTCCTTTCAATTTCTCAAACCTCTTTACATTCTTATCAGATCTATTTCAACCGGAAACCGTTTCATCAATTTCACCGATAAGTTTTCCAACAAAACAATATAGCTTCGTGTACAATTTCCCACAAAATTCATGGATGTTTGTTCCCTTTTTTCTCTGTCCCACATGTGAAAACTCTCACTCACATGCTCGTATATAGACAAAATCGAAATGTTTGCTCCGTTCATCGAAATTGTATTTTTATTGCCACCTTCCCTTCCACTTCTTTTCCCATTTTCTCCTCTTTCTACATCTGCAATATTTGTGTTTCTTTTCCTATTCTTTTTTATTTATTTTCATCATCTCAAATATAGTATGGTATCTCTCTTTTTTTGTATTTCCACTCTATTCTAGACAAACACTTTCAAGCTAAAAAATAGACAAATGTTCGATGCTCTCTCCATTCTCTCCAAATAACTCATTCTTTGCAGTGATGGCCGAGGTTACGTCTCCTGTTGTGGACGACAAACCATGTTTTAAAACGAATCCAGGAATTTTCAAATTGGGATTAGCAAGACAACACATTCTGGCTCATGACATTGGACAGGGATCACAGTGTCGAAATGAACCCACATGCAAATGTGAAGGACTTGACTTGCATTTCTGGAGAAAGATGTGCAAGAATTGTGGATGTCGGATGGATGAACATGATGTCGTTTTGCCAAATGAATTCGATCATGCTCAAATTGTAATCGGAAGGTTGTTTGGAGTCAAAGAACATTTCGAGAAGGTCCTCACAAAACCAGGAATGTATAAACCAACGGATCAAAACGATGAGAACAATATGATGTCAAGAAGATCACAACCAACTGCAGTCTACAATTACAAAATGTCGTCAAGTGATTCAGAATCCGAGAAGGATGCTCCGACGTTCAAAAAGGTATGTTGATGTTTTTATCAGGGAATATAAGTGAATACCAATTTTAGGACAAAGTACAGTACGCCTGGGCTCCACTTCCAGACAAGGATCTGGTATCACGGTATATGAAGTGTCTTCCTGAAGATGAACGACCACTTGTTGGATCCAAGGGAGAACAAAACAGAAAGTCAAGACTTCAATTCCAGGTGAGATTCTATTTGTGATAAATTATCAGAAATTCTTTCCCAGCTCCCTCTCTATGATTGCAACGTGGAAGATGCGAGATTCGTTGAAGAGAAAGATGTTAAAACTCTCCAAAAGTTTGTAGAAAATGTACGAAACAATGTGATTGGAGTTGGAAGAGTCGTTGAAATCGGAAAAGATTCTGACAACTATGGAGATGACTCAAATGACTTTGAAAAATCAATGAACGCGGCTCTCAAAGGATTACAAGTCGGTGAAACTGATTGCAAGGATTGCAGTGAAATAATGAAAAATGGAGAAATCGGAGTGGAATGTCACCATCACACCAAAACAGACACATACCATCCAAACTGTTTCCGATGTGAGACTTGTCGTCAATTATTGGTCGACAACATTTACTTCTTCTACAAGAACAAGTATTACTGTGGAAGACATTATGCTGATCAGTTGTATCCAAGATGTGCAGGATGTGATGAAGTATGTTAAACAGGAGAGTATATTATCTTAAATTTTGAATTTCCAGTTGATTTTCGCCAACGAATACACATTTGCCGAGGAAAAGTCATGGCATTTTGATCACTTTGCTTGTTTCAAATGTGATTTCAAGCTGGGAGGTTCTCGATACATGACCCGAGATGAGAATCCATTCTGTTTGGAGTGTTATATGAAGCATTATGCAAAGGTCAGATTACTTGCAAACTTAATAATTTTACAAGTTTTCGATTTCAGACATGTGACACTTGTCAAGCTAAAATTGGTCCAGATGAGAAGCGATTAAACTACAACGAAATTCATTGGCACGCCGAGGAGAAATGCTTTCAGTGTGTTCAGTGTCACTCGAACCTAATTGGGAAGAAGTTCATTTTAAAGAATCACAAACTTTTGTGTTCTTCTCAATGCAAAGCGAACTATAACTCTTCCCACCCAGATGATCAATTGTAATTTTTAATTGATTCTATATATTTTTCTTCCATCCACGACATTTTCCTTTTTCTATTCCTATCTCTCTTTTCCTACTCAAATCATGTCATTCCCGATTTTCATTTGATCCGTTACTTCAGCTTTTGGCGCTTTTAGTTTTTGATTTTTCTCCTCGTGTATATTGTTCTTTTCACTTGTGCGGGACTCTGTATTTTCGCGCTTCTTTCGAATTTTGTGACCCTGTTGAAGCATGATTGTGCATTTTTTTTAAACTATTTTTTCGAGCTTTGCTTGAAGAAGAATGAATACATTTATTGAAATCAAGTGAAACCAAAAGATTCAGATGTCTTAAATATTCAACAGATCACCAACTCCATCGTCACTGTCAATGCTGTAACCATCATCTTCATTCTCACTTTCTTCCTCATCATTTTCTTCGTTTTCTTCAAAATCTTCGTCTTCGATCTCCAGAATGAACTCGAATATTGCTGCACGAGTCCATGTGCTGAAGCAGTTTTCTTGAAGGAGTGTATACACACAACGAGCGTCATTCCATAGAACTTCTTCCTAGAATAATAATAATTTCTTAACATCCATCTCAAAAATTGAAAGTTACCAGAAGATTTTTCATCTTAAACTTCTCTGCTAACTTGATATTTTTAACCGTTGCTTCCTGACCATACGAACGATGTTTGATAAGAAAACTTTCGTATTTCGAGAGAACTTGATGCATTTCCCAATGCTGTGCCAACTCAAGAACTTTTCCAACAGTTTCCTTTTCAATTGAGAATGGAGGATGAAGAAAGTTCAAAAGTTTTCTTAATGCCGGAAACAAACTCGATGGAACTATGATGTCATTCAGAATCCCCTTCTCTTCAAAGTGTTTTCTCAAAACTGACGAATTCAGGGCAAGCACCTGAATCAACTAGAAAATGAATCGAAAATTCAAAAATCAGAAACCAACCCCAGAATTAGCGTAAACCTTCATACTACCATCGTTCGAACAAATCCTCGCATCGAGCCATTTATTATGGACATCAAAATTGATATAATTCTCTTGACGAATTCCACATGCCGACTTCCGAATCAATTTCAGCTCAATCTTGTTATACTTTCTACCCTGATCAATTGGACTCAATTTCCAAGATTTCATTCTTTGTGAAAACTGAATTTCATTTCTGAAGTTCAACTCTGGAGTCTGTCCCTCTCCAATGAATTTAGTGTCTACTTGAGCCAGCAACTTCCACGGACACAAACTGGTTTCCTCACATTTTAACTCAAATTGCCCTTGAGCTGTATTCAAAACAGTCCAGTATCCAGTCCACACCAGTCCAAGAACATCGCCGATTGGAATTTTCACTTTTAATCTAACTGCAGAATCAACTGGAATGTCCAAGGTCTTGATCACTTCCGGTATTTTCCATAAATCATCACCCATTGCTTTATTTCTGAATTTTCAATTTTGGAATGCCCGTATTTATTAAAAAAAAGTGAATTTGTTACCTGTTGTCTTAAATGTCTAGATCTTCAGAATTTACTTTTTCAAAACTACAAATATTCAGATTTCTTTTCAATGTCAGCTAAAAACTTTTGGCTCCATCTTCCACGCTCCACTTCTCCCCTTCACGTTTTATTTTTCAAGACGTCAGGACCTAAATCACCTATTCATAGCCTTCTTACAAACAAACGAATTCATAACAAATTCTTCAAATTTTTGAAATCTCCGAATTCTTTCATCCCGGTTTTCTCCGCAATCCATCAAAATTCTGTTCGCTTTCCCGTCTTCTTTGTTCTCCAAAATTCCCGCCCTCCCCCATCTGTCCAAAATCTCAGTTTTTAAAACGATAAAAATGGAAGCTTTAAATATTTAAGAAATCCTCTCTTTCCTGATCCAGGTCAGTTGTGACTGTTGAGGTGTGAAGATGATTGACAAAAAAAAACAGTTTCTCTTCCCCGAAATGGGGTTAAGAAGGTGTCCTTCTTATATCCATTCATTCATCTCATTTGCATTTGTTTTCCTTTCTTTTCAATTCGCACCGTCTTCTTTTTCCGTATTTTTTGTTGTTGTCTTTTGATTCATGACTCATTTCCAATATATTTTGTGAACAGGACAATCTTATTCACTCTTTTTTTTCAACCAAGACAACCCACACAACAAACAAATAAAGAAATGGGGTTTCGTTCTCTTTTATTCACACCCATTTCTTCAGTCTTGAGTTTCACGTCCTATCCCAAAAAGGAGAAGGAATCAAAGATTCGAGTTTGAGTGTTGGAAGACAATTTTCAGATTATCTTGTCCTCCGCCTCCTCCAAAACTTTTTGTAGTCCTCATTTTCTTCCTAACCCCACTGACTCATTTCTCGTCCTCCCACTCAGCTGGTTTCGAAAACCTAGAGAAAAAAGTTCAGTGATAACTGATAGGCGTGTGCATACCTCCATCAAATAAATACATTCTCTTCGTTCTCTGTTGACATTCCATTTCTTTTCCTAACCTCAAAACTTCTACAGTTCTAAAGTTTTAAAACTTTCGAAATTTCAGACTCTGTTTTTCAAAATGCCAAGCTGCCCAAATTGTGAGAAACCTGTGTATTTCGGTGAGTTTGTTTAAATTCCTATTTTCCATAATGAATAAACGATTTTTCCAGCCGAACGAGTGTCATCTCTCGGAAAGGATTGGCACAGACCTTGCTTAAAATGTGCTAATAAGGCTTGTGGGAAGACTTTAAGTGCTGGAAGTCATTCTGAGGTTTGTTAATTTCAAATTTTCTAGATTAGAACGTAATTTTTCTGAAGTGTGCTAGAATAATTTCTCCCAGACTTTCTGTACAATTCTATTTATAGTTTTGTTTATAATCGACCATCAGTGAAAATAAGTGTCATCAGAAATTATTATAGACTCTCAAAATATGATTAATAACTGATAACTAAATAAAAACACTGATAAATTTTCAGCACGAAGGTAAACCATACTGCAACCGTTGCTACGGAGCTCTGTTCGGACCAAAAGGATACGGACATGGAGGAACAGAATCACATACTTTCCTCCATGGAACTACTGGAAAATAATTATTTTTTTTTGTTTTCTCCATTACCAAAGATGCTCTAATGTCCTCCCGCATTCTGACCTACTAATTGCATTTCTTCGATTTCAAAATAAAATATTTTTACTTTAAAAAAAAAGGGAAAAAAAAGAATTTGAAACATATAAAAAAGGGGAAGAAGACTGAAAAAAGAGATGGAGACGTGTAAAGAAAAACAGTCATTTTTGACTAGGGTGAGGGAAAAAGGGATAGTATCGGACACCCGATAGTTTCTCCATGCGATATTTACAAAAAAGGAATTGATGAGCAAATTCAAAAGACTCTTAAGTTACATAAAATGAGAAAGTGGGGAAGTTAGGTAAAGAAGAAAAGAAGAAGAGGAAGATGGCATTTTAATAAATATTCGGGTCATCATACCAATGACGACGTTGATCAGTTAGACCTGGAGTGTAGGAGTAGCGATTGAGAGCGCTGGATGTATCACGGGTGGTTGAACCTGAAAACCCTCAGTTGGAGCAATAATCAACATAGTTGAAGAGTCAGTGCCTGAGTTTTTTTTTCAGACAATGGGTTTCTTTTTTAAACATTTTTTTTTGATAATACAGGAAAAAATAACAGAAAACCCGGGCCGAAACGGTACCTGGATATTTTCTATATTGAGCCACGTATGATTCTCTTGTTGATGTTGGATTTGAAGAAGTGTACGCCCTGAAGAAATAATCTTACTTAAGGTAACATTCTACAAATGTTACCTTGAAGAATTATAATAATCGAAATGTCCAGTTCCAGCAGTATCACTTTTTCTAAACAACGACTTGATTCTATCAATTGGAGAACTTGGTCTCTTGAAATCTCTGCTGCTCGGAGTGTCATCATAACCGTTGGTGATCAATTTTCCATCGGCTCCCATTCTCACTTCACTCGTTTTTCTTCGATTGAATGAAAGCAAAGATCTTTTCTTTTTTGGATTATCCAACACAGATGACGTTGTGTCGATGTTTCGGCTGTGCGGCCCGACAGATGCGACCTAAATTTTGATGAGAATTGTATTTGGAAGACAGCTAAACACAATGAAAAAACAAATAATTAGGTTGGCAGTATTCTGTAAGTATTGAAAATGATAAAAACTGTATATTGGGGGAGGTTCAACATGTCACACAGTGGTAATGGATACCATGCTGGAAAAATTTGAAAAAAGTGGCACACTGAAAATTTTAGAGGATCATTTCAGAGCTTCAGATTATCCGACACCGGTATAATACTAATACTTACACGAAGCTGTCTGCCATAAAACGAGGTATCCTAAGAATTAAAGAAGTTTCCCATTAAATCTAGATTCTCTGTTTTTTATATTCTCTTTTCGCTTACCTGTCTTTGCGGCGAAACACTTTTCTCGAGAGACAAATGACGACGGAGACGTTCGAACACCTGGAGAATAGAACGCATGCTTAGAAGTTGAGAAAGAAAAAAAGAGGAAAGAAATTCATGCTGAATTTCAGAAGGGAACATGAGGGAAGAGGTGCTCCAAAAATAAAGGGGATCAAAATGTTTTTAAGTGGGACAAAAAGAAGGAGTTACTTACCGATCGAACACCACTGCTTGGTTCGTAGGATGACTCAACACGTGGTTCAATGTCAGCACTCTGGAATTGTGGGTTATGGGGAGAGAGAATCAAGGATCAGTTCAATTGTTACAGTTATAAAAAATCACTCTAAACTAACCTGCTTATTCTTAAGAATACTTCTTGGCTGTCCATCTTTTTCCATCGTCGTGTTGGATCTTCCATTGGAACTGTCATGATAATTGACATAGGAATAGTCACCAGCTCCGTGAGTATCCGGAGTAGTCAATCGAGTTAGAAGGTTGCTTCCGTATTCATAATCAACCTTGTTTCTATCCATAGATCTGGAACGATGGTAGTTGCGGCGATCAGCATCAGTCATAGCAGAAGCAACACGTCTAGCAGTTGGCCGGAAACGGTTTTCCATGCTGGATGCTTGATTATCGGCAAGAGCACTGGAGATCGCGTAGTGATCGTTACTAGGTGTTGCTGAAAGTTTATCATCTGAGATCTGAAACGATGTTTAAAACTAACTGGATCTTCCATCATATCTGCTATAAGCAGTTGAAGATGAATTGTAACTCTCTTCAGGACGTCTTAGACCAGTTAAAGGTCTATCACTAGTTGATGTGTAGTATGAAGAAGGGCGGTATGAGCTTGCACCAGTAGTACTTCTGAAAATAACGAATCAGGTCAAGAAGTTTAGGATTAGACTAACAGGTTTGAATGATATGTGTTTCTCTCGGCGTCCCGTTCTGCCCGTGTTTTATACACTTCAAATTTACGATCATTGGCCCATGAGTTTAATGTTGGTTGCTGAAATAAATATATTTTATGGATGTCCGAATTTCTCTATGCTGAAATCAAGTTTACTTTCACAATTACAACATCTATTCCAAAATACCTAATCAGATTCTTGTTCGTGGAAGACCTCGGAAAAGCTTTAAACCAATTCAGATATTCTATTCAAGGTACACCGTCATACCTACCTCATGCTCAAACTTGCGTGTATAACTCGGGCTGGCATTTGAAGACGTTATATAGCTTCTATCATAGGACGGTCTGAAAATGAGATTATTCACTAAACAACTATCAAACTTCAAATTCATAACCTGTAAATATATCTCATGTCCTTTTTTAGGGAAGTCTAGGAACCGAAAAAGAATTAAAAGAAACGGCTCAGAGGGGGACTAGTGTATTTTTTCCTATTTTTTTCCCGAATCGGAGGAACATCTTGTTCTTTTTTCTTCTCCTTCTTAATTTCTCTTCTTCCTTTTCAATCTCCGTAAAATCGGATTATGTTTTCTGTGTTGTTTCGGAGGGCAGTTTTTGTCAACAACAAAAACAATAGATACTATTCGAATCGTCTACAACGCATCCCTCTTTTTTTCATGTCATTAATCAGGGTGGTCAAAATCACTGATCGTAGAAATGAGAGGGAAGTGATGACGACGATGATAATGATACTTAGAGAAAGTGATATATAGAGATAACAATTATAATGGGATCGGTTGATGAGGTACTATCTAGCTTCGGAGAAAAAAGACAGGAAGGAAAAAGAAAGTGACGAAATGCAATTACCTGCTAGTATCGTGTGGATCGTAAGATGTAGACTTGCCACGATCATCGCGGGATACTGCCGCAGTCTGGAATTTCAGAGAATGAAAATGTTAAATGAATATAATTTCAGAGAAACGCTGTTGTGCTTCACAGTTTTTAAGGCTTCTAGCTCTGTTTCCTGGTCGCAAAATTTTGATACTATTCAACGACACGTTCTAAAATGTCCAAAAAAGGAAGCTAACAAACTTATTATCTGGGGATACATTTTAGACCTACCGTAACCTGTCAGTTCAATTCGACCCTAGTTCTTTCTACCACTAATCCAATGTTTATTTACACCCAAACAATGCTTTTCTAACTCTCAAAACAAACATACCCAATCTTGATTGTGAATAAGCATGTGAATGAAAACAATTAGAAAATGGTATACTCAAAAGTGTTCAAAACTAAAAAGACGGGGGCCACTCCTCTCATTCAAAGTACACTGTGTTCTTCTTCCTCTCTCTTTCTCTCCTCCCAATTCCTTTCTCTCTCATTTTTTCCGCCTCCAAATGCTTGTTCGCGCTTTAGGCGTGTTCTTCTCCTGCCATATACAAAGTGTGGGTTTTCTCTCTATTCAGATGTGTATGTTTGACAGTCACCCGATTGTTCGTGTGAACTACTTCATTTTGACTAATTAGATGAGAGAATTGGTATCATTCTCTCCTTTTTGTCTGTTTCTTTTATTATACTTACATATCGACTGGTTGGGGACATCGGACGATAGTCACTATCACGATGAGTACGGTAGCTATCATCGTGATAACGTGGACGAACGTATCCAAGAGCCGAAGGAGCAGCGACTCCAGAAGAGTGATGAGAGTAGAATGGATCCGAAGAGATTGGAGAGAATGCCCGCTCTGAAAAGTTTCATTGAAGAAAAATTCTCAATTTTTGGGGTGTACCTTCGTATGGATCCACAGATGGTCTTTCCAGAGCTCTGAAAATCGATAATTTTTCAAAAATGAATGGTCAAATTTTCGCAAAGAAATCCTGACTCAAGCGTTTAGAGCATCAGAAAAACAACTGAACGCATCATCATGATAATCAATATCCATTCAATTAGGAAACTGAGAATAAATTGAGTTTTCTCGAGTCAGTAACCAGGAAAACAGAAAAAAAACTGAACCGTAGCGCTTCTTCGGCGGTTCCAATAGTCCGATTCCTTTGTCTCCTTTCTCGATTCTTCCTTCTTATATACGCAGAAGCACTTTCATGCGTGTCTTTTCCATCTGATTCCTGAGAAATTGTCGATGGTGGAGGCGGAGCTGCACCCCTTGTCACTCTGGAAACAGACGAAAACGGCTCAATTCGGTTAGAAACAAAGCCACGTTCACAAAAAAGGAACTGAAACAATTATCACAACCACAACCACTGAACCAAAAGTAGGATAAGTGATAGAAAACAACGGAAAACTGACGCGTTTATCCGGCGATACAGATCCGATGCCATATAGGCGGACGGACGGAATAGAAGGTTGGTTTGTGAGGTTCTGGAGATAAATTCAGGGATAACTCAGAATGACATTAGGGGGAGTTCCAAAAGAAAAAGTTTTTTTGTGATTTGGTTGTTTTGAACTATAATATAAAGTTTTGAGAAATTATATGTTTCCTATCATCTAATACATAAATTAGTCTATTCTGAATGTGATTGCTTAGCAACATCCGGATATCTACTAGACTCACCTTCTTTCTGAATTAATCTCACTATCCTTCAACTGTTCCTTAAGTAGTGCTTCTGTCTTGCTATCTTCTTTTTTCTCCGTTTGCTTCAACTTCAACTCAGCAACCGTCACAAGATACTTTGCAGATGTTCCAGCTACAGGAACTTTTTCTGAATCGGATGAAATTATCACAAATCTTCCCATAAACTCACTAGATTCTATTAGTTTTGGTTAAAGGCTAACCACTACATAAAAAACATAAAAATATCACTATTTTTGTGAGAGTTTTCAGATTAAAAAGCAACAAAAACCACACCTGGCGTCGCCTGAATAACCGTCGAAGTTTTCGGCGATGCGACTTGATATCTTGGATTTTGAGAATTTGGTGAAACAACGGCAGGTCGAGTAGTTTGATGAATCACTGGCACGACAGCTGAGATTTAGAAGCAACCGGGTTAGAGAACGAATAAGAGGGAGTTGAGCTGAGAAGCCACGTGTCAAAAAAGAACTTACCACCGTCATCTCTTCGTACTGCAGCAATAATTGGTCTCTTTGGTTTGAAGTTTTCAAAATCTGATCCTTCTGCAGAATCAGTCTCTTCGACCTCCTCCTCATCCTCATCTTCCTCTTCTTCTTCGTCATCATCAATGTCTTCTCCATCAGACTTCACAACGATCGGAGGAGGTGTGCGTGGAGGAACACTTCCGACGTACCTGGATTCATAGTTTTGAGAATCAGAAACTTTTCGAAAGAACTCACGAATTTCTTGGCTTGTCTCCATCTTTTGGTTGCTTCAGAAGATCTGCTTTAACCTTTTCCATTCTCAGTTTTCTTCTCAACTCTACATCAATTCCACGTGCATCCAGCTTGTTGTTTGGATAGGTTTGAAGAATCTCTTTTGCCTGAATCAAGGTTTCAGTCAGTTCAATCTACGTCTACATAATATTCAGAATCCAAAAAAAGACTCTGACAACGATACAGTGCAGTGAATATGAGAAAAAGAAAACATGCTTTGTCAAATAGGAAAGGTGACAGCTCTGCCGAAGGTTGTGGACCACCGAAGAACTTTTTCTGCTGCGTCGGAGATTCACATTCCGTTGACACACCACGACCATAGTTATTGATGAGAGTGTGCTAAAGAAAAAGGAATAGAATGAAGAAATAGAGAGAGAGAGAAAGTGGTAGTTAAGGGAAGAAGTGGAGGGAAGAGTTGAAAATGACTTGCAAAGAAACATGGGATGCTATTCTAGATCTTTCCGGATCTTATAGATTCACCTGATATTTTCCTTTGCTCTGTCTCTTGATGAGTCCTCTATCGAATGCATCCAAAAATTGTGGAGAACTTGACGGATCCGGTGGTGGATTGGCTTCGAGATTCTCAGAAGTCGGAACTCTTTTCATGTCTTCAGGAGCCTTCTTCTCCACCTCATCTGCCAATTCTTCCATTTCAGCATCACTATAATCCTCATCCTCATCACTCTCCTCTTCTTCTACAACTGTCTTCGAGCTCTCCGGATTCTCAATAATCAGTTTTGGTGTCTTTGGAACAGTATCAGCAACTGGTGTCTTCTTTCTTCCTTCTTCATCAGAACTATCATCTTCAAATGACGTGTCTTGTACTGTAACTTCTGTTGTGTTGCTTGCAATCGATTCCTGCATGCGATCATGCTCCGCTTCCTCATCCGGATCGAATCCAACCTGAAAACATACAAAGGGCAATAATGGTTTTTTGGATCATTCTAAAGGATGTTTTGTTTTCTATTCATTCCTTCATGCACACCTCTACAGAATGCCATGGTCTCTCTTTCATCTTTCTCGTAGGCGGTGATGGGACGGCCGGAATCTCTTCTTCTTCAACTGGATCTTCTTTCTTCTTTCTGGTGAGAGTGTTTTGACGGGAGAACGTCTGAAACGTGTTAGGTTCATATCATTCATATGTTATGTTCTTGAGTTTGGAGTGCATATGATTGGATGGGGTTCTATGTGAGGTCATCGAGCACAAGCACGCTCTACTGAATTTTGAAGCGCAGTTCTTTTGTTCTAATTAAAGAGTTAGGTCTGTTTACGAAAATAATCTCACATTTGATATTTCCAAAATTCCTATTTTCCTATTTCTTTTGCAATATATTTTTCAGTAGAGCGCACAGATTGTATTCTGAAGCCAAATTACCTGTTGTTCAACCACTTTACTCGTCTGCTTCTGAACTGGTTCTGGTTGAGCAGCGATGATGCTCTCGAGAAGTTCCTTGACCATTGGTCTAGTGTCATACAAAGGATGTGCCTTGATTCTACCGATGATGTTCAAATTGACGGGTCCTTTTTCCATTTGTTCCAGAACTTGATTCATGAGCATATTCAATGAATCAGTCTCGATTCTGTAGGTACTGGCTGTCATGTGCGGACGAGTACGTGGTCTTTCTGGCTCTGATGTTTCTGGTTTATCCTTGACAGGAACAAATGAAGGAGCACGCGAGTCCGCTGGTTTTGATGTTCTGAAAGAATAATCCGATTTGTTTTTTGCCCACGAAAACGTTCAACATTTAGTCTAGCCGCTTGTTTGCGTGCTGCCGTTTCCCAGTAACCAAAAATAGCCCGTTAGTTTCTCCTTTTTTCTTTCAAAGCCGACACCAAATCCGTATAGCAATAGCCTTTTTTCAGAGCGGAGGGACGCTGTCCTTCTCTTTTTCCCCCCAACATTTTGTTTCCAACTATTGCACGCTCTCCCGAAAAAAGGCCATCGTAAAAAAGATCAAAGTGTAACGGACTGAAGGCGGATTTATCATAAAAACGCGAGAGAAAAAGACATGAGAATGGTCTAAACACCCGCGGGTAATCCCTTTTTTTAGCGGTTGTCATCCATTTTCTAGTCAATGTACCTTTTTATGATTTATTCCCAAATCTCGCATCATTCCCCCTATTTTTTCATATCGAACCGGCAATCCCTATTTGACACCTCTTTTCGGTTTTCGGAATTTTTAGTTTTGTAAACACCAACTGTTCAGTTTCATTTCTCTTTTCGGTCTGACATTCTCTGATAATCATAAAGGGCACAACTTCTGACTTCTTCACTAATTAACAAAGTTATTGAACTGGAGAAAATTAATAGCAACATTAAAAATCACCAGAATTAGTGTAACTTGTGCTTCAAGTCACAAAATATTCGGCTCCCAGTGGGGGATCAACACATATCTGCAAAGTTGTTTTGTCCGTTTCTAACCAGAGGGCAGCTGAACTCAGATAAATGTTTTTGTGATCATTCTTTGAATGACCCACATATTTTTTATCAATCAAATAAAACACCTGTTACTTGTGACTTTTTAAATCATCAAAGTCTTTCCCCAACTCACCCTCTCGCTGTCTTCGGGTCCTCCGGTTGTTGCTCTGGTGATTTTGCCTTTTTCACTTCTTTGACTGCCTCGGCGCGAGCTGCCGCAGCTGCCTGAAATTCGAAGAATATCAATGTTTTTTTTTTTCATGATTCATTTCGAATGTGATTTGTTATGAAATTCTGGAACCAAAAGGGTCAAGTCATAGAAACTGTCAAACGATGACGTTCGGGTTCAAGAGGAGATTAATTTTTGTCTAGTTTTCTTTCAGTTTGGAACAGGTCATCTGAATCATAAAATTCCTCCCATAAAAACAGGTAATCTCTGAAAACTTTTTGATTTTTGTCATTTCAAATTCCTCCTTCATATTTCACTGTGAATGTTACTAATTTATACCGTATTTGCTTTAATAGAAGCACACCCTGTATTTCAGTTATCTCGGTTCCTATGTGAGATATCAAAAATATGTTAACAGATAAAATGTTTGTATTTACATTATGATAACAAATTATCAGCTGACAATTTTGACTGGAAGCGAGATAAATTAGCTCTAAATTAAAAGTTAATGGACCTTCTGTGTATTACAGATTGTACGGTATATTGTTTTTTCTAAAATTTCTTATTTCTTACCTATCACTTAAATCCTCCCAAACTAAAGATCAACTTCTTCCCTATTTTATTCCGAGTCCAAAATCATACTCAATTTGCAGAGTCGTGTGATTTCTTTCATAAAAAAACTTCCGTACAATCGGCCTAACTGTTCGCTGACCCTTGCAAAACCCCGCGCGATGAAGTCTACTGTATTGTCTCTCATGATCGTGTTGGTACTGATCTCGATCGTTTGGTCAGAGGTAACAAACATATCTTTTACAACTATTTAGAATACAAAGATTTGAATTTCAGATGACGTGTGCAGAACAATGTGCAGAGAGCTACTTGGATACGGTCAGACTACACCCAGAATACACATCGATTCAGTTGAAGACGTCTTCATTGAAATGCATTCAAGATTGTCATGATGGGTTCAAAAAATGATTTCAAAACAATTTGAAATAACATTAATTCAACTTCGTCTCATTTGACCCCCTACAGGTTACTGCCAGTGATAGATATGAACCGAATTTGTTCAATAAACCAACAAAAAAAATCTATACAAACCTCTTTTTCTTTTTTCTGTTGCCCCAATCGATTCTCGATTTGTCGAAGTCTCTCCAATGGATCATTGGGATCCACCACTTTCGGTTTCTCTTTTTCCTCCTTAACTCCTCTCAACGATTTCTCAGCAGATCTCATCTCTTCTGGTTGCTCCTTCGCCACTTTTCCGGTCAACTCATCCGTTTTTCTAGTCTTTGGTGGTTTGACTGGAGAGTTGTCATTGAATTCCTCAGCCTCCTTTCGACGTCTTCTAAAGTCTTCGATCTTGCGACGTGTCTCCGAAGAAAGATGCCCAAATTCCATGAAGACATCCTGTTCGTCTGCCAAATCCTGTACCACCATTGTCTCTTCTCTTTCCGTCAATGGAGTGTGATCTATGATTTGATTTTCAGGAAGTTCTTGAATGACTGGCATGTTTTCTTCAAGATTCAACCACCAATGGGAAGCGATGTCGAAAATTGTAGCTCTTCGTTCTGGATTCACTCGAAGCATGTTACGGATGAGCATTGAGGCAGCTGAAATCAATCGAATTATAATATTCCAACTTTTTGATAAAGCAGGTTACTTGAAGGCGTCTCTGGCTCAAAGTACGCTCCTCTTTTGATCTGCCTGACCATTCGATTGAAATCTCTTCCATCAAAAGGCATACTTCCATAAACTAGTGTATAGAGAAGGATTCCAAGAGACCAACAGTCGACCTCAGGACCCTTGTAAGGAGTTCCATTGATGATTTCTGGAGAAGCATACAATGGACTTCCACAGAATGTTGTTAGGAGATTCTGGAAAATTTGAAATATAGTTTAGACTATTGAAATAGACATTTGAAATATAGACTTCAAAAAATGACTGCTTACCTTATCAGCAAAATAGTTGGACAATCCAAAATCGGCAATTTTAGCATTGTTATTCTGATCTAAAAGAATATTCTCCAATTTCAAATCTCTGTGTGCAACCCGATGTTTATGGCAATAAAGGACGGCAGAAGTGATTTGTCGAAAGATTCGGCGTGCTTCTGCTTCTGGAAGAGATCCACATCTTGAGACGTAATCGTACAGTTCTCCACCGCTAGAGTACTCCATTACGAGAATGATTTTGTCTTTGTTTTCAAATACTGCAAAACGAATGTATTTTTGAGAACATCCCTCATTGCAGTACCTTCATAAATCTGAATGATATTGGATGGTTTAATGCACTCATAATACGAATTTCCCTCCGAATCCGAACCAAGTCAGCTTTGCTCTCAATTGCGCTCTTTTTGATCAATTTAACAGCAACCTACAAAACATGATTTCTATTTTTGGTCCTGGAGAAAACTTCTGACAAATCTTGATTGAATTTTTTTTTTGCTCGTTCCCACAGAACGAGCAACAAAAAAGATTTCAATTCGATCCCTAGAGACGTAAAATCGACGACAATAAAAAGTAGATTGACGTCTTTAAAGATAGAAGACGAACAAACCTCTCGATCGAATTTGTGATCGTAGGCCAGAGACACTTTTCCATATGTTCCAGAGCCAAGCTTCTTTGTGATCTCGAATCGATGCTTCTCTTTTTTGGTGGGACTGCATGGTTCTGCACCGGACATTGGATGAGTACCTACAAATTACAATTTTAGGTCAACAGGAAAAATATTGATTCCAAAAGTTTGATCAATCTGGAAAACTGAAAACATGTAGTCTCTCGTGATCAAAACAGAACTATACCATAAACGAACTTGGAGCATGTGGGCTCATGAGTGACAATGCATTGCCTATTATTGTTGCAATAGTCAATACATCGATCAGTCTGCTCGTGATCATTTGATGAAATTGCTCTTCGAACACATTTGACAATTTTACCCGCGTTACAGAGAAATGAGCTCAACGGCATTCTGATGGAAAGACTGATAATATTTAGAAGACTCTCTGATCCAAAGTGAACACGACGAGTAAATCAGAAAACAATAGAGAAGGAGGAAAGAATCTGAGGACACGACCAATAAACGGGCTGCGGTTTATGGGTTTTGAAACGAGTGAAAATGCTCAGTGACAAAACTGACGCACCAGCTGAGAACAGAGAGGGGAGAATGTGAAAATAACTGACGAGATATGGTCATAAAATGGGACATCATATGCCAAATGCCAAAATGTTCACTACTTCTTTTCATATATTCGAAACTCTTGAATACTCAGCACAATGTTCCAAAATGTCTGGTCAGAAATAGCTCCCCAGATAACTTTTAGGCCAGATGAAATTTAGCAATTTCAAAGTGTTCGTGGATTTGGCGTGTGTTTGTTGTACGTTTAATACTTAGCCAACGAAAAGAAGAAAAAAGAAGCTTCAATCTGACGTTCACTGGGGAGCGATTTCAGATCAGACCTTTCTGAACACTGTGATTCGGTACTTATTTTTCTAAAATGTATGTGTGACTCACATGGAATGACTCCCAAGTGTTAACCTCGGAAAAAATATAGACCTATATGGTTGGATAGAGAGTGAAAAGTTATTTTAGATTCCAAGCGGAATAGTTGGTAAAAAATTTCTTATGGGAGTTATGGTCCAAAAAGTACCAAAAAATGCCTAAATTTTCAAAAAATCATAACTTTGCCAGTTTATGTCCGTTTGTTGAAATTTAAAAAACAGTAGATAGACAATTGATTGAACACTTGAGAATAAATTTTTTAAATTTTTTTCCTATTGATTGGATTATTGATTTTTTGAAAAAATCAAAAAATTTTTCAATATCTCAAAAATCCTAAGGTTAATTTTTCTTCTCATTATGACCATTAAAATATAGCACATTTGATTATAGAAACATATCAATACCCCGGGGGAAATCAATCAATCAAACCATACGCAAGTAAAAATCACAAAAACAAGTATGCCCCTCACCATACCGGCCAACGAATTCAAAGAAGCCAAGTGCCAAAAATCGATATTTTTTGGCATAACTTGTGTGAGCATGATTTCCCCATAATGAGAAAAAAGTTAACCTAGGATTTTTGAGATATTGAAAAATTTTTTGATTTTTTCAAAAAATCAATAATCCAATCAATAGGAAAAAAATTTAAAAAATTTATTCTCAAGTGTTCAATTAATTGTCTATATACTGTTTTTTAAATTTCAACAAACGGACATAAACTGACAAAGTTATGATTTTTTGAAAATTTAGGCATTTTTTGGTACTTTTTGGACCATAACTCCCAAAAGAAATATTTTACCAACTATTCCGCTTGGAATCTAAAATAACTTATTACGCTCTATCCAACCATATAGGTCTCGATTTTTTTCGAGGGTAACACTTGGGAGTCATTCCATGTCAGCGAGAAAAAAAGTTGGTGGTTGCAAGAAAAGATACTGAAAATTTCGTTCCAAAAAATGACGGATGAAGTGATGGATGAGCTAGTCACCCTAGAGCAATCTTTTTGAAGGAACGAAGTGTTCGGAAAAGAGTAAAGGAGATATAGTTCATAACGGTGTTGACTCGGTTTTTGGGAGTTTTGTTAAATTCTTCTTGAGTCATAAACTTTTTTGCCTTCTGGGTTTTCCGGTTTCCGCATTTTTTCCTCCCCAGTTTTTTGGGTGGGTGTCAGTTTGTCGTCGGTCCGAAGAAGAAACTTCTTTGCTCCAGAGAAGAGCATCTCTCATCATTTTTGGCAGTGCGAAGAGAGCAACACAAGAGAGTTGACAATAAAATGGCCTTTTTTCCTTTCCCTCAGCAACCGTCTTCTCCAGGGAGTTCTTGCTCCCAACTCGAGAAAAAATGACGACTCTGGGATGGGTGAAAAAGCGCAAAAAAGTTGGCTTCTTCAAACGACTTCAAGATATATGTCACAAATTAGAGTCACGAGTCACATGTGTCTGGAATGAAGAAGAAAACTGAGAAAGAACAATGACCAAAACGACCTTTTTCAGTTTGGGTCCAAGAAGAAAAAAGGGGAGAATTGTGGGTCTGGAGTCCGATTCAGGTGGAACGATTTGTCATTTTTTTTTTCTTTTTGGTCAATAGTCAACAGATTGGAAATTCAGAATTCAGAAGTAGGTACGTGCACAATTTCAGTCACCCAGATACCAATAAACAAATTTCAAATTCTACATGAATGAAAAATTACAGAATTTGAGGTGCCATATACTTCTGATGCGAAAAAGTAACAAACTTCCAAAAAAGTAACAAACTTCAGTAATTTTTTTGAAAACATACGCCTCGCTACTTCATGAGACTTCCTAATACCGTGTTTACAAAGGAGCCCATCCTAACCGTCAACTTTGAGCTCAGTTATCTAAATACCTGTGGAAGATATCAGAAAACTGCAAACTGATAAAATGTTTATCATAATATCACCAATATTTTATCAATTGACGAAATTTTGATATCTTTCACAGGAATCAAAAAAATTGAGCTCAAAGTTGACGCCCTGAATGGGAGCTTCTATTAGAGGAAATATGGTGAATTGACAAATTTAATTTTTTAGGCTCTCAAAGTTACGAAACAGAAGTTCCAAAAAATTTAAGAAACGTCATCCAGTTGATGTTTACATTTCTTTACTAAAAATGCATTCCTGTCTGCGGTCTATTTTCAGAAGTAATTGTGTTGTTTTCATCTGACCAAGTTAACCTGAACTTTCTCTTCCATATGCTTCCTGTATATCCAAGTCATTTTCTTTTTCTATTCTTCGTACTCTTTCATCTTCCATCCCACCTACAAACTCTTCTTTAACAATCATTTTGAGGGCGGAAACCACTGGACACGAACAACTGTCTTCTTCTTCTTCTTCTGTCTTTTCTACTCGTATCTTCTTCTTCTTCTTCTTATTGTGCTCTCGCAGTCATTGATTTATCTCTCCCGCACAGGAGTTTCGGGGATGGGGTCCCTTTGAGTTTTTGAGGACTAAGTGTTTCGTATTACACTCAATTCTCACCCTGCTCTCTCTTTCTTCTATATCTCACACACAGAGACAAAAAGAATGGATTTTTTCTTCCGAAGAAACAACTTACCAGGTCCATAACTGTTCGTAGCTCCACCGCCATTTGATCCAAACGGTCGAATATTGGATTGGCTGATACGTGCCAGACGACCCGATCGAGATCCCGAATTACCGACGGGCATTCGTCCTCCTGGAAAAAGGAAGAATATATGCCGAATGAAAAATTACAGGAGAAATCAAATCAAAAAGTATAAAACGAAAAACATCCGGTCACTTCTCCCTCTCTTTTTTTAAACAAAAAATTGTACAACTTGGTATTATGTATAAACATGGACACCACCGATACAATAATATTCTATGAGCGAGTCTCACACGTTACAGTCAGCAGGAATAGGGCTATTGAAAGAGTGAGGAAAAAGTGAAAGTGGGTGCTCTGAGTAGATGATGTCATGAGTAGTCATCTGATTGTCGAGTCGTCGAGGAACAACAAGTTCTGTGTGAGGTGGAAATCGATATCCAGATAGGATGGGACGCGGGAGCAAGAAACGACGGGAAGGGAGCTTCTCACGATCCCGAAGAAATTGGATGGAGTGTGGAGATAGAGGAGAGTTTAGAGAGTGTATAGGGCAATGGGTCAGACATCGATGAACAGAACGAAAGATATGACTAACTACTGCTGGGATGGAGGATGAGCAGGTCCCCTTCTCATCACACTGATATTTTGAAATTTTTTAGTGGTCGGGTGTCTGGAGGAATCCCGTGTCGATCTTTTATCATATGGAATTTTCTAAAAACTTCGGGGATTCGGGAATTGGTGGTAGAAGAGCCATGAGATATCAGAAAAGTTTTCGTGTACATAAAGCTGACCAGTATGAAAATTGGGGTCTAAGCAAAATGAGAAAAAAGAAAATTTTTAGTATAGAACGAGGTCGGTCTTATCTAAAAATTTGAATAGTCCGTATCTGTTTTTTTTTGTTTGCAAAAATTTTGAAGCTGACTTCAACTATTGTATTCGTTGGAGCTTTCAGAAGTAACTCTGCAAGTACGAAATTTGAAAGAACCCGCTAAAAGAGATACCGTAAACACTCTAATAGAACGCGATCCTATGATTTTGCTTTGAGCTCAATTATCTTAATTCAAATAAGAGATAGCAAGAAATTGCCGATTGATGAAAAGTTGGGGATAAACTTTTTAACAGTAGACGTTATCTTTCATATATTTCGAGATAATTGAATTCAAAGTAAAATTTCCTAGTCTTTCAGAACAAGTTTCAAAATTTCCTTTCCACTATTTTTTTCCAAAAGATAGCATAGGCAATATTATTTTTTTATAGTGAATGTGAAGATGAGCTCAAAAATTAGTTTTATTAAGACTGAATTCAGACCCCCTTTGAATCTGGGATCATGAATAAAAGAATGAAAATGTGTAAAGTGTTTCTGATGGATTGATGGTAACTAACTAAACATCTCATACAGAGAGTAAGAGATAAAAGCGGAACGAATCGAATTGAAGAAACAGAGATCGAGTATCTAAAACACAGGAACCGGCCTCTAGGTTAAGAGAGGAACTCGACTCAATCTCACTATCCGTCTCTTCTGCGTGAAAACTTTCTTCGCTCTCTTTTTCTCTCTTTTTTTTCCCAGTAGGCAAACACGATTGCTCTATGCCATCACCACGCACTTGTATCAAGTATCCAGGTGTGCCAAAGTGACGGGAGATATAAGAAAAATAGGAACAAAAAGTGTAGAAATTTATGCTTGAATTGAGTTCGGATGAAAAAAGAACGTCTCGGTAGATCTAGAGAAAAAGTAGAAGATCTTAGAGTTTATGAATCACAATGGACGATTTGCGGGGAGAAAAGACATGCGTCAATGAGGGAGAAAAGAGAAGAAAACTTCAAAGATGATGGGTGTAAGATTGTGGAAATGTTTTGAAATATATGTTTTCCGGAAAATCGACAAAAAATCGTTGGAGGTAGTGTGGTTTTACACTGGAAAAGTCTATAAAACATAGTCTAACGAGTATTGGTGATTCGAAACTGGTGAAGAACACAACAAGGAACTTTTTCAGTAAGAGCTGGGTTCTGAAGGTTTATACTTCGAATGGTAACCTGATCATGAACAAAATAATTTATCCAGTGTTATTAAAAGGCCTACAGAGATGACCGGCAGCAGAACGAGAAAATGTGTTCAGCAGCAGAGCATGAATCAGTTTCAGATTTTATAAAGAACGCATTTGTCAATGTCTAGAAAACTATTTCTGAGGAATGCAATACCATTTCAATAAGTCAGAAACTCTTATATTTTTCAAATGTTTCAGAAAGTACGGATTTTGAATTATAAAAGTTTTTAAAATTCAATAGTTTTCTTAATTTCAAGTTCAGATTTGCAAGAGTAGAATTCTGAATGATCAGATGAAATAGTTCAGATATATGATAACAAACAAAAAATAGTTCAGATATATGATAACAATTAACTTTGACTAGGTCAACTGAGGATATTAACTGTCGTGACGGCATATTGGGTGGTGAGCCCCTAACCGTACGGATGAGCAAGAGAGCATAAATTTATCTAGTTTCAGATGAGAACAACATTAAGCCGTTTAATTTTAACTAATTTATTAAACACAAAAGAGTTATCGGCTGACTCCCGAATGGAGCTTTATCTTCTTCCGAGTTGTCCTCGTGGTCCATCCGTACCCATCCTTGTCCCTCGGTGGTCGAGCTGCCGTTGAGTCGTTCTTCGTAGACTTGAGCCGATTGGAATGGAACGAATGTAGACATCTTTTCGTTGGTTTCTTCAGCTTATATAGCGACGATTGATCAGATCGTAGATAAGATAAATGATTAAGCCGCCGATGTGGTTGACACCTTGAATAATACCGAATGTATATTTACTAAAAGTTGAGGAAGAAATGGCAGGGCCATTCCTTCCGCAACACTCGGGGGCCGAAATGATGAACTTTGGAGATTTTCTTCATAAGTTCATAAGTACCGTCAGATTTCGGTTTCTCAAGACCGAACGTCTGCGGTTTCTAAGCGAGTGTTGCGGAAGTAATGTATCGTACATTACTTCCACAACTTTATGCTATTGGCATTATTGTATTCTTTAATTGTAAGCACATCTTAAGTTGTAAGAATAATTCCAAACTGTGGAATTTCTCTAGCCTATCTGAGGATATCTAAAATAATATTCAACATCTCTTGCTTTGTTCTACGAGCTATCTGAAGGAATAAGTTTGTATGGATTTCCAAGTTACGTGACCGTCTCCTTATGTTACCTAAATCTTATAACGAATCGTATTTGCTACGTGGAACGGTTGATGTGAAGTTTATGTGAAGGAATAAGATCAGTTCTCTGTATATTGCAAGAAAGCCGCCGTCTCATCCATTCAAAAGATATAAGATGGCTAAGGAGCAAGCTGCCGACAAAACCGCCAAATCGTGTCCTTCTAAAAGCTCGTTTTAATAAAGTTTGAGTGTTGAAATGTTTTTTTTTCTTTCTTTGTTTAACTGTCTTTCTGGTTTCCGAGACGGACAGGGGTTCACTACCCAAATGCCGTCTCGACAGCGAGTGCCCACATGGCAATTTTGCTTTAGCTCGAACAGTCATATCGGGATAATTCTTTATTGCTTCTTGAGTCGATCCCACAACGCATCTTCATGTTTTCGATGTCTCGAATAGACATAAGCTTTCGATCTGTTCCAAATGAACGACCTTCACGAAAGTGTCCTTTGTTGGCAAAAATCTTCTATCTTCAAGATGTTGAGTCATGAGACGAGCATTCCGACACAATCACGGCGATTACACATTTACGAGTGCGAAGGCAAGTTGCAGACCTGGACGCTTCAGGTTGCGAGATATCCACGACGGATGGTTCCACAGTTCCACATACTGACATCATGACTCGGTGTCCACCGCAACTTGACTTAGACGATTCCGTCTCCCAGTTGCGTGATTTGTAGGTGCTCCCAGACTCCAACGACTAGCGATTGCGACGAATTTTATTTTTTTTCTTCCAGAGACGATTTGGTGGTGGTTCCTTAGGTGTTGTTTCCGATCGACTTCTAGTGTGTTGCCACATCGCCATCCTGACGACCCCACACCAGACCATTGCTATCCACGAAAGTTCCGAACGAACTATTTCATCTGTTCCGAATGAACTTGTTGTCTCACTGACTAGATAGCTGCTCTTGCCCCACCGGGGTCCTTTACCGTACTGACGATTTCAGATGGTTCCCGGTCGATGCACCATATCGTGACGGCATATTGGGTGGTGAGCCCCTAACCGTACGGATGAGCAAGAGAGCATAAATTTATCTAGTTTCAGATGAGAACAACATTAAGCCGTTTAATTTTAACTAATTATTAAACACAAAAGAGTTATCGGCTGACTCCCGAATGGAGCTTTATCTTCTTCCGAGTTGTCCTCGTGGTCCATCCGTACCCATCCTTGTCCCTCGGTGGTCGAGCTGCCTTTGAGTCGTTCTTCGTAGACTTGAGCCGATTGGAATGGAACGAATGTAGACATCTTTTCGTTGGTTTCTTCAGCTTATATAGCGACGATTGATCAGATCGTAGATAACATAAAATGATTAAGCCGCCGATGTGGTTGACACCTTGAATAATACCGAATGTATATTTACTAAAAGTTGAGGAAGAAATGGCAGGGCCATTCCTTCCGCAACATTAACAGATAATTCGAAACATTAGATATTACCGTCAAACCTGTAAAAGAGGGACCTCACACTGTCAATTTTGAGCTAATTTTTGTTGGCTCCTATGCAACATAACAAATAAGTGTCAACTGATAAAAAATAGGTATCAACTGATATTTGTGATGTTATGATGAACAATTTATCCGTTAAAAACTTTGTTATACTTTTTACAAGAATCGGGGAAAATTGTCTCGAAATTAAAGGTTTGGGGTCCCTCTATTATAAGTTTCACGCTATTCAAGTGCTGAACAAATTTTGAGGATATGAGTAAATCAAGAAAGCGAAGATAAGAAAAATGATTGGATGGATGTTTTGAGATGGACTGAGGACACAAGAACAAATCAATGTTCTCGAGACAAAAAAAGGATTCAAGAGGAAAGAAGAAGAAGAGCCGCAAGGAAGCAGAAAAAACGGTGTAGGCTATCATCTCTTAATTGATCAAACCTCTCTCCGTCTCTTTATTCTTTCTCTATTTCTCTCTCGGATCTGCAAATGTTTCGATTGCTGCTGAAGGGGCGAGAAGAAGAAAAAAGAAGGAGTGGGTTCTTCTTCATCATCTCAAACTTTTTCATTCTCTTTCTCTCTTTCATCAAAAAGGTCCCTTCTGAACAGCACAGGTGACACCCCCGAAGTATGAGGAAAAATACTATTAGAATCAGAGAGACGGAGAGAATTCGATGCATTGGAAATCCCGACGACGAGACGGGCTTTGTAAATCGTGCTCTGATGTACAGCTAAAGATAAGAGACGGCTGAAACAGGGTGGAGGAAGAAAATTGAATCACAGTCTGGTCAATAAAAAGAGATGGGTGATAAAGTGTGATCACATATTAACAACCAGAGGGTACAACTTTTTCTTCTAGGTGCACGCAAATTAATGCGTAGAGAAAACAAAGGAGAGAAGCTTGTTTCACTAGGCAGTCTATCTTTTGTTTACAATGACGTGGAATTGGAGAATCACTTGCCTGATGGATCAATGGTAATACTGAATCTTTTCACAGAAGATGTTGGTTTGACCTCCTGATTTGTTACCTAAAATTTTGGATTTTTTGTTATTGGGAATTTGCATAAAAATATAAATTTCGGTTTCACCTCCCACTTAATTCTAACATCACTGCCACTCAATCGTGCTTCTTTGCAAGATTTGTTTTCCAGTGATCTGAAATATTTGTTCTTGATTTGAGTTCATATTTTGAAAATTACTCACTTAGAATTTTCGTTTTCAGTATTCTCCATGGATTCTCTCCTGGATACGGTAGTTGAATCTTTGATCCGATGTGCTGATGCATTGTTGTTACCGTATCTTTTCATCAGCGAATCAATAGTTGGAGATGTCTCTCGATTCGTTCTAGCTAACAATTCCTGGGCTCGCGAACCTTGAACATATTTTTTCAATAGTCCTGTTTTTGTTTTCAGAAATTTTCTATCCTTACTTTCTCTACTTTTCCTTCCATCTTCTAAATTTTCTTTCGATTTGTTCAGATATTTGTTCATCAATGCATCTATTGCTGTATCTCTTCCCGTACTCGATGGAGGGATCACTGAAAGTTACAGTAATCAACATCAAACAATTTTTGAAAACTAACTATAGGCATTCGTTCTTCTCTCACTGATTCGGTGTCTCAACCGTTCCGCCCGACTTCTTTGTGGTTGTTTCGGATCCGCCGGTGGTCTTGATGCAAGGGTTCCATTACTACTTCCACCTCCAAATGCATGTGGAACAGCGTATTCATGTGGTGGAGGACTGATCACCGATGTTGCTTGAGACCTCAAACGATCGATTTGTGACGTGGCATCAGGACGAGTCCAACCGACGGAAGACGAAAGAAGGGCTGGAGATGTTATTGCTCGGCCATATGTTCCGTACCGTTTCTTCGAGGACATGCCTGAAAAGTAATAGAGTGAAGGGTAAGAAAAAAATGATTACGACGGAAAAAACAGAGACAGAGCAAATAAACATGAACGGATAGAACATCAAGAAGTCTGTAAGAGGGAGGTTGTCCATCGTTGATCTACACTATTTTTGGGTGTTTGTCACAATGTACGGAGTCCGAACTTCGGAATCACTTTGCAGAAAATTTGGAAATCACTGTGAAAATGTTTGAAGTTTCAATATTAGAATCATTCGGGCTTAGGTCGATTGTTAGAAAAAGTTCCTAATGCTAATCATTTCAGAACCAAAATGGAACTTTCAGTCCTAGACCAGTGAGATGTCAAATATTTCTAAAAATCTATGATAAAATGAAAGGAATCTTCTGGATACTGGGGGATTCGTTCCCGGGATGAAACATCGGGACGGAGCCCCTGCTCTCTGCGAAGTGCACAGCCAATTCCAACATCTGGTGTTGGTCGCCGTCATCTTCGTTTCTCCATTTTCTCCATTCTCTTTTTCTCTTTATTGCTCTCTTACAGGTGTCGTTCTTGGGAAGTTCTTCTTCGTATTCATCTAACCCTTCTAACTCCTTTTCCCAAAAAACAGAGCTTCGGAAATCGAAGAAAAATATGGTAGACTGAAAGCGTTAAAAATTCAAAAAACTTGAAGAAGTTAAAGAAAAAGTAGGAACAGGGAATCTAGCGATGCGTACGATGTAAGGTGTAGTGAGGATGATGAAAAGCCAAACGATTTTGGAGAGCTTGAGCAAACTTTTTGTGTCTCTCCGGTGGGCTCCCGCGCAGGAGATTCTTGCGCAAAACCTCGCACCCGCCTAGACACGGCTAATCAATGTAACGACTTGTTTTTCTGTAGAAGAGAGACAGAGAAATAGAGCATGGAACGGTTTTTGGGGATAGAGTTCAACTATTGTAAGGCTCTTGAAGACTCAATAAGCCAATTTTTAATTTTGCTCAATTTGATTATCTCCAGCTTAGGATGAAAATTTCAGATGCCTCTTATTTTTGAACTGTCAGTTTTTTTTCCAAGTGAACACTTTTTTCCAAGCTAAAAAGTAGATTTTTATTTCGAGCTGACGCGAATTTCCGAGCAAAAAATGAGTACATTAATGCGAAAGAGACTGTCGATAAATGCAGAAGTTTTTTTTTCAATATTTACTCGTTCTGTGATTTAGATTCTGTCAAGTAATAGATTCTGGATGTTGCTTCACTTATCAATGTCAAGATTATTTTAACATGTTTAATTGATCATATCAAATCAGGGTAAAAAGTGCGATAAACTTTAAACTTTATGATAAAACTAGACTCTTCGGTAAAGTTACCATCCCATACCTCCCCTTATCCCTGCCCTCTACTACCCAAGTGACATCATTGAGTATTTTGTTTGACTTTGTTTGAGATTCAGGCATTTCTCCTCCCTCATTTTTTTCATCGCGCGATCCATCAGTTCGTTTTCTGTATGTTTATCAAGCTCTGTCTTTGCTCTTTTTATCTGTCCAGTCAACAGGTCAAACATATTCTCTCCTCAATGTTATCATGAATATCCAGGTCGAATACTAACGTCAACACCTTCTTGAGATTCTTAATATCTTCTTACCGACAGAGGGAGTTTAAGAGAGCTCTGATGCCCCCGCTCAACTGGTATTTTGGTTAATGTGTAAAGAACATGTGCAAAGGATTTCGGAAAGCAAAGAAAACATTATTTTATGTATTTCAAAAAATACAAGAGAAGTTTCAGATTAAAGAAGATCAAAATGCGTGGAAGATAGAAAAATGCTTTTATCAGGAGGACTGGGAACGAAATAATTGAATGCACCGGACGGTTTGTTTCAAAAAATCAATAGACCAGTATTCGCTTAATCTTGATAGTAGAAGCTGACAGATCGCTCATTTCCAACGGGTACTCCAGCTTCTCCAGTGATGTTTCCTGTCATCGAATACCAAGATCCAAATGGATTGGGCGAGCCATGTCTATCCAAATGAGCCGGAACGTCTTCTGGTGGATCATCTGGAGAAAAAAAAGAATAATATCTTTGTTAATATGAGTTAATCACTTGCACTCTGCCATTTTCTCTCTGTATTGGCTGAATATCGGTTGAAAAGAGAATAGACATTAGATTGGAAGGCATTGAGAATGAGAACATGCCAAAGTGGTTGGAAAATAATGACAATAATCCAATAGGATACTCGAATAATATGATCCTTGATTGCAATTAATTCATGTCCCTCTGTAGTACGAGCAATCAAAAGAAGTGGAACATGTACGGATAGCCCGGATAGAAAACAACGGATAAATATTGTTCCAAAAAGCTGTTTAGTGGTGCTTGTCTCCTCTGACCAGTTGTAGCTCCATTTGTGTTTTGTCTGTCGGATGCAATACAAAATAATAGTCAGAGAAAGCGCTCCAATGCACACAATCGGTCCCCATTGTACAGTTAGGATATGTTTCAGGTAGTATTCCTCACCAACGACTTCATCAAATCGACACTGGCTCATTACGCGGACAGAAGTGTTGAAACGAGACTGGAAGGTTCATATTTTTGCGGTTTTACAGAACTTATCAAAAATATTTGTATTGCATAATCGAGTTGCGAGCTAACTACTAAAAGAAAACTCTAAAAAATTTAAAAACTTATTCTTCAAGAAAGAACGCCGAATGGGGATAATTTTAACCGAAATAATTATTCACCTCTAATGGGAAAGCTAATCCTGGTACGGATAGACCGGCAGATGCAAATAACAAAAGCATGAAAAGCTTCCAGTTTAGGAAATACGGATAGATTTTTCCATATGACACTGGAAACATAATCTGAATCAGACGGTCGATGGAAAATGCGGAAAGAAGAAGAATATGAAGATAATCAGTGATAAGAAATATTGGAATATTTACAGCACGAGTCAAACAATCGAATGGGGAAATTGTCTGGAAGGAAATGTTATAGAAGTAATATATTCATGTTTCTTACCTCAACAGTATTCCCATAAATTGTAATCATTACTCCGTAGAATCCATCAATCAAAGTTCCAATTCCTGATAAAAGATCTGAAATGTTTCGTGGTTGGGAACCGATTTATAGTTGATTCCCGCTTACCTGAAACTGCAAAGAAAAGACAGAAAATCAATGCATCCTTTGTATTTTTTCTCATCACGATCATCACAAGAGCTGTACATGCAATCATAGCAAAACCAACTACTGGGAGCACTTCGTACAATAGATCTTCCAACATCTTCTGAAAAATGCAAAAAACTGTTACATGATATTGATTAGATTCTTCTTCATATTTTATTTTCTTCTACCAGTAGCTCTCAAATTTTAATTTTTTTTGGAGAAAAACAAAGAATACCCGCTAACAAAAGAGGAAGGTCAGAAGTGGTGCAAGCCTTCCGTTGAAGTACCATGCCGAGAACTCGAAGAATGAATTCAACCTGGAGACAGCTCACTTCTCTATTATTTCTGGTTCTATTAGAAAATAACCAGAAACTGGAATTCGGCAGAAAAGACGTGGTGATGAAGCAAGGAAGCAATATAATAGAGTGCGGTGAGAAGCCGGATGAAAAATTCCGAAATTGAGGGAGATGTGAAGAGTGGGGAGGTGTTAAACTTATCGTCGTAGATTTGGGCATACTGATCGCGATTTGAGCGGATTTATGTGCACCCAGATTTGAGCGATTTGTGGTTGTTTTTGGAGATAGGAAAGGTGGATGAAATGGAAAAGATGTCTCATGGATATGAATGACTTCTAACACTAACATATATGGGGTCTTGATTTGACGACCCGTTTAAGATTACTGGGAACGAATCGACTTATTCTCTTTCACACACGTTAGAGAGGTTAGAATACGAGTTGTCTGAGCATCTCGGTAAATGTGGGCAACTTCTTCCCCAACTACAGAAGCCTAACGCTCTCTGATTCCCAATGAGTCAGGTGTTGTGACACGTGGAGATTTCAGAGTTATCCAGCCGGCTTTAGTTTGCCACCTTCACTTCCTCGTTTAACAAAATGTTCATTGGGATCTACTGACCCGCATTCACTAATTGCCAATATTCAAATGAAATCTAAACACTCACCGCAGTACCAGTAGGCCGCACCACAGAAATTTCAATATTTCTCTTCATTTTGAAACTGGAATAGTAGTCTTCATGAGTCGACATTTTCAGTTGTCCAACAAATCGAACGAATGAATTTCCTGTTGAAAGTGGATGGTGTATGTTCCACCCTCCCTCGCCTAATCCAGATTTCATCCCTCTTTAAGCTTCACATTTCCATTTGGATTTTCAGACTCTAAAAATCAGCTGAGAAAAGCTGCTTTTCTGATTTTTTTTTTCGATTATACAAAAACAGATTCCGATAACTTTATTGCGAAATGAAGGAAAATAATAATTGAATGTTTGCTGTGAGATTAGCTTCAAATACAAAAAGGGAAAAAAGTTTTACTGAATATTCTTGTTGTTTTTGTTTTCGATTCTTGTCGTTTCCTTCCGAAATGGTCCACTGACAACACGATCAATAACTGTTCCATTTGGAGAAAGTAGTTCTTCTTCTCGATAATATTCCTCAATTATTGTAACTTTTACATCTGAATTCTTCGGAATCGATTGAACATAGAGGGGAGATGGGGTGGCTGTGAGCTGAGTCACATCAGTCATCACCTGAATTTTCAATTTGGTGCTTTTTCACAATGACATATACTCACACTTTTGGAAGTTGGTTTTCTTGAAACCGCTGTTTTCGTAGATTTTTCTGTTAGTTTCTGAACTGAGTGCTTCTGACTAGAACCATTTTGGATCGTATTTTCTACTCCTACATCCTTACTGAGGAGCTCAAAAATACGTTTGTTCAGAGAGTATGGTGGAACGTAGAACAACAGAAACAGAACCAATTTGAACACATAATAACATGGAATATTTTCTAGATTTTTATCGAAAAGTGTAATTCCCCCGAAAGTTGGAAAGTAGATGTACAATGATTCATCAGCCGGTTTCTCTTCTGGATAATAGAAAACAAGAAGCAGTGGGACTCCAATAAGAATCGAGTTGGCAAAGAAGTGAGCCTGAAGATTGGTTCAAGGAATTATCTGAACCGTTTCATTTGATATCTACCTGATCACAAAAAGTCAAAATTAGGAATAAAACAGTGCCGAGAACCTTGGCAATTGTGTCCGATTGCATTCCAGATATTTCAGATAAATGAGCCAAATAGCGAGCAGTAAAGTGTTTCTTATCATGAATTCGGGTGTCGATCCAATCGAGAAATCCACCATTCATTTTGGATGATTTGGAAAGTGATTCCATTTTGCTCTTTGGGTGGACAAGACCTAAAAATTCTCGTGGACAAACCACGTTTGACATTTTTCTTCAAAAAAAAAAGTTCGAAAATTGCAGCTGACAATGAACATTTTGCTGGCAGCATCTAGAGCATGGGACCATTCTGGATTCCAAAAACTAGAATTGTTGCCAATCTAAGGCACCGTGCCCTGCTCCGAGTGGCCTCGAACACCGCAGCCGTGCTCCTAGCTCTCAGATGTCGTGCCCTACCGTGCCGTTGCCGTGTCCCTTCTTGAACAACTCGAATTTTTTTCGCACTAACTTTCTGTCGATTCTAGATGGACGTTATTTTATCCTATATAAGCGAATTAATTCAAATTGTTTTATTCAAATACAAATATTATTAAACAATGTCATATGTAATCATAACTGATAAAACAAAAAAAAGCACCACGAATTGTTGTTGAACATCATCAAAATAAATTTGGAAAATGAGGACTATAAACATAAGCAGATACTGCGTAAAAATGATTTGGACAGGGGGGATCGGGAGACAGTTGTAATTCAAAAAATATGAGAAAATGTAGAAAGAGATATTATGTTGAATTGAAAGAAAAAGGGGGAAAGAGAGACAGTTTCTGAAAACAGTTCATAGTGAAATCGAGGAGAAAGGCCACTGTTTTGATCAAGAAAATTTTTTGGGATATAATAAGATACTAGAGACTGATGGAAAATATGCAAGTTGAGTTACGCGAAAAGAACTCTGTGAGCTGATATTGCCCACCAACCATCTAGAATGGGAATATTGAGCATTTTGAGAGAAGGGAGCAGTTGATTGTTTTTTGGTAAGATGAGGAGAAGTATGAAAGAAGAGTCAAATAAGGGAAAAGCAAACCAGTAAAAGGACGATCATCTACAATTGATAAGGGATGGTCGAGTTGGGATGGAGGGGAAAGAGAAGGGGAACACAATCGGAAATCTAAACTCGTACAAATTGAATGAGGTGGATTTGGGGAAAGGAGAAACAATAAGAGAGATTATTTGGAGAGAGGGGCACCTATTCATTTCAATTTTTCTAACTCGTAATCGGTACGATATAATGAGGGAAAGAGGGAAAAAGAAGAGGGGAAGAAATGGTTCGAATCAGAACGGTTGTTGTTTTTGAAAAGAAGAGATGTTTTAAAGTGTGGTCACCAGAAGAAGATCTTCTTGTGATCCTCCATGAGAATCATGTTGTCGTCGTGATGATTCTCCAGCTGGTCTCAGAAGAGCACTCCGTGAATTTTCATTTATATCACGGATATCGTGCATTCCAACGTGTTGCATCAACGGTGCCAATGAGTCAGCGGCCATGTCGATTTCTTGTTCACCTAATTGATACGCTTCCTCGATTTCTCGTCTTGCTGCACCAACGACACGTGCATCGGCGTATCTGGAGAAGCGAAAATGATGATTCAGGATTACTGTAGATTTGCTTGAGCACCTATTGTCAAAAGGTTGGTTAGTATAGAGAGAAGGAATAGGATGATTCGGAGAGGGGTAGAACACTTTGAACAACCAGAAGTCTCCCTTCCAAAGAGACACCACACACCCAGGTTTCTTTGGTTAGCAGTCAGCCACTTTTCTGGTTAAAAAATCGGTTAAAAAATGGGAAGTTCATAATCAGGGTGTGAGGAGAAAGTAAATCAAAAAGGGTAGTGGTTTTAGAAGGAAGTTCGAAGCCATGCGGAAAATAAGTTGAAAATAAAAATCAGGGATAAGTAAACTAGCTAATATTTATTAATGCTAATCAAATCATATCTTTTCGGTTAATTTGCAAAATTAACTGATTAGTGAATTTGGTGAAAAATGTTCACTTAAAATTTCAGTGGATTAATTCGAAAAATTAAAAAGTGCTCTCCCGGGTAATTAGTAATCAAGTTCTAGCATGGTTCATAACCCAAACCTCGTAATAAAAAGAAAAAAAAACGCAAAGTGCGGGGTAAGAAGAAAAGGAGGTAAGTAGAAAAATAAAAGAGGTTTCACTGCTCAACCAACCAATCCATGCTTACGGCCTCACAGAATGGATGAACTTACCTTCCGAGTCCAAGTGATTGTCCAATCAATAAATCTGCAGGCCGTGAATCTTCAGCTGGTCGGAGAACAGGTCGAGATGAAAACGGAAGTCGTACTGACTTTCCTTCTCCAACTGGTCTGTATGTTCCTTCATATGCTTCTGATGACATTCCAGCTAGTGCCAGCGCTGCTCCACGAGCCACAAGCATTGGTTCCCTGATTGGAAGATTTCTTCGATCGGATCGATTTGATGGTCCTCCTCTCATCCATCGCTCTTCCTCATCAGGATCCACGGGTAAACTGTAGAAACAAGGATGTTTGGAAGCTGATTTACAAAACACGAAACAATCTAACAATCTCAAAAAAACTCGAAATATTGTGGAAAAATAAACGATAGGAAAGATAACGCATTCTTTTTTGAATAAAGATATACCCCTATAATGAAGTTGTAGTGTATCTGAAACTACTTTAAAAAATTTTCAAATCTATAATCTCATAACTATAAAATTAAGTACTAAAACTCACTTTCTGTTGGCCACGACCATTCGGTTCTGTGATGGGTCGTATCCAGCTCGATCGCCAGTATCCCGATACCTGGGGCCGTCGTCCGTCTCATCGTGAATATGATTTGCGTACGGCGGCAGGGCAGGAAGACGTCGAGCGGATCCATTGACTGGTGGCAAATTTATCGATTGATTGATTGGAGCACCACGATGCATTTGTGATGGAACTGGTGAACCTTCGGCTCCGGCAAGAGAATGTGTTGGGGAGAAAGAACGAGCTTCTGAAAACGAATGTTTTTCAGAAAAACCGGAAAAAGAAGGAAAGCGGATGTTTTTCTGCTGATTGGACAAATATACGATTCTGATTATCAACCATTTCCTGTTTAAGAAAGATATCTGAAACATACCGTATGGGAGAAGTGTAGCTCCTCTTTCCAACCGCTCGTGTTCAGTTGGAGACTTCGCGCCGGCACCGGAGAGTCGGTGGACCAAATTGTTAAAAAGAGAGTGAGGTCTCTGCAAAAAAGATGCTTGAAAGAAGGCTAAAGAATAGGCTTGAGAATCTCAAGTGCTCATGTGATGGCGTCGTTTCAAGTTTCCGTTTTTTAGTTTTTTTTCTATTCATAAGGTTTTTCCTCTTTTTAATTAGAGGAGGTGTCCGAACTTGGGTCAATATGTGATTTAAAGATTTGCGCTTTACACTATCGGACTATTTTTCCTAGGATTTTTCGAGAAATGTTTTCCAAATATTCAACGGATCTATTCGGATTGTAAATCTAGAATTTTTCTTCTTGAACAAGTGGAATTTAGAAAACACGACAGAGTGGGAGAATCTAATTATTTCCAGACGGAATGCTTGGTATTTTGTGGAAAATGATGCGCCTATCGCATTAATCAAGATGCCGTAATCACATTTGTTCGTCTTGTTTTGGTTCCAGAATGTTCTAGAAACGGAAATGAGACATGTTTTTTTCCCATTTCACCATACAAAACAAACAGATTCTGAAGAAGAGATTCTTCATAAAAAAGAGAAGCATCATTGAGATGTCATCATCATCCTCTCATTTCCTGATTAGCCATGAACCCAGGCTGCTATTTTCAGAATCTTCGTTTTGCTTCAAGGTACTTTTTCCCACTTCCAACCAACGTCACTTTTCACCGTGGGAGTTCAATTAGAAGAAAGAAAATAAAAAGAAAAATGCCAAAAGAACTGACAGGAAGTGTGCTCTAGTAGTCACAAAACCAACAATTTGTGCTTCTGAATTAGTCCTTCACAATAGTGCGTTTTGACTTACTCTGTGTTGTGGTTCTGGCTCGTCAAAGTTGAAGTCGGTTTCCAAGTTTCCAGATATGGCTCTCTTCAGTTCTGGTCCGATTTCATGTAGTGTGCGAAGTCCGGCCTGGAAGAAAACGAAGGAATGAATAGGGAAGGAGAAAGAAGCTCCACCACACTGATCGAACAAAAGAAGAAGACGACGAAGTAGGCGGAGCATCCTGACGCCAGTGCTGGCTCATTCACTATTCATGAATGAAGTCAGTCTTCGTCGCCTTCGCAAGAAAATTTCGGAAGACGGAAAAAAACTCGGTTTTCTTCGGAAGAGCACTAGATTTCGATTTGTCAAATAAATTAAATTAAGTTCGAGAGACGATTTTTCCCAAAAAAAAACGAAGTGAAGGGATCTTCTTCGAAAAGGACATAGAGGTTGTTGCAAAGAAATTTGAGAAGAAGTGGACGGAAGAAGATGCAAAAAAAACGAAAAAAAGAATCTTCTTCTTCCTCTTCTATTCCAATTTCCATCTCAAAAAGGAGAAAAAGAAGAGAAGAAAATTGAAGACATCGCGAAACGTCTTCTACTTCTCATTTTTCTTCGTCATTTCCAGCTATCCAGTTACCTGAAGAGCCATCGCTTGTGGAGTTTGAGCTGGCAGCACTCCCTTTGCCTCCATCTCCTTTCGCTTCTTGAATCTTCGGAAATAGTCCTGGATGAGGAAGGTGGCGTAGAATTTTCCAACGGTCACATCATCTTCTTCTGCAAAAAAGGAAGATGTGGGTGTTTTTGGTTCTGATTTGAATAATCGTAGTCACTCAAAATGCAAATGGAAACCTAGTACACTAGATCATCAATGTTCTTCGAAAGCACTTTTAAGAATACAAAACTTACTTCCTGCTGGTGGTACCACTTCATCCAACAAATCTTTGTGTGTTCTTTTCCAGATCCGTTTGATTGCTGATCTCAATTGCTCGTTCGCCTCATCGATGTTTCCTTCTGTAAAAAAGTAACATAACCGGAACTCTCGTTTTTTTCTTCTAATCCTATTTTTTCTCATTAGACGGCAGAGATTAGTTTCCTCCCGTAATCTTTACTAACCCCACTCGTAGGTCCCTAGATGTTTTCTTTTCGTTCCCGCCAAGAAAAATCTTTTTTAAAAAGGCACTCAAAAAAAAACGAGTGAAAAATGACTAACCAGTATAGATCTTCAAATTGGTACGAACGAGAGCGAAGAGTGTCGCGTTGAAACATACGGTACCGTCCGAGTTCAGGGGCATATTCATTGATACCAAACGTTTACAGGCAAGACGATGTGGGCATAGTTTTCCGAATCCGAGGGGTGGAGATATTTTACGGAGCAATGTGACAACGTCAAGATGTTTGATTCTTCCTTTAGCATCTGGATCGTATTCTGACCATAACCTGACAAATTCTTCTAGATGGTGAGGTCCGAGAATCGACCAATCTCTGGTGAGATAATCGAAATTATCCATAATAACGGCGACGAAGAGATTGATAACGAGGAAAGAGCAAAGCATGAAGAATGAGATGAAATATGGATAAGCAAAGTTGTTTCCACATCTTGACTCATTAAATCCTCCTTTGCTGTAGTCGTCAGACATTGGATCACAACGAACATCTTCACGGTCCGAACACGAGAGCATAATGTCCTGCCAGGCTTCTCCGGTAGCTGATCTGAAATCCCATAACATTGGTTTGAGTTAGGATGAACTTGTATAGATTTGTATAAATATCGAGTGTCCTAAAAAAGCGAACCGAAAATAGTGACGCTAAATTCTTTCTAGGTAAGCACTCCATGTGAACTCACTGCCACGTGTGTGTTATTCTCTGGAGTGCGTTAAATTCTGCATTAACTTGGAGGCCCCAAGTTGGAGCTACAAAATAATGTCTCACCTGAATAAAACCAGAATAGCAGCCGGGAACGAATGGAAGTTATTGTTTCTGTGTATAGATGTGGAGTCGTCGAGGGCAACTTTTCCGAAGAATTGCATTCCGATGACAGCATAAATGAAAAAGAGCAGGACGATGAGCAAAGCGACGTACGGAAGAGCTTGGAAGGATTTCATGAATGTCCAGAGAAGAGTTCGAATTCCTTCTCCGCGAGATAACAGTTTGACGAGACGCATGACACGGAAAAGACGGAAGAAGTTGATGGAAATGAGATTTGTTCCTCCTGGATTCAATTTTCCGTAGGTGATATCAATGAACGATCCGACTACAACCAGTAAATCGAACACATTCCATCGATCCGAGATGTAATTCTTGGGATTCAATGCAACGATTTTGAGGACAGCTTCAAATGCGAAAACTCCGGTGAAAATCAAATTGAACACATCCAAAAAGTCCTCAAATCCTCGCGAGCTGGGGTAATGTTTGCATGCCAGTGATACCGTATTCATCACGATAATCAGGAAAATGACGTATTCGAAAGCTCTCGAAGTGACGAACCACCAAACTCTGTATTGAAGACGGTTGCGTGGAATGTATCTTCTGTGTGGTTTGGCTTTCAATGCGAACTCGATGCACTTTCTTTGATTCTTATCCAATTCACAGTTCTCGTATTCTCTTTCTCCTTCGTTTTGGAACGTAACGATAACGAAACCGACGAAGATGTTCATCATGAAGAAGGCGATGACAATGATGAAAGCGATGAAGAATAGAGCAACAGCTTGTCTTGAATTGTGAACAGGTCCCTTGTCTTCTTCATTCGAATCAATTGCCACGTAGAGAAGTTGTGGCCATCCTTCGAATGTGGAAACGACGAAAAGAGAAACCATTGCATCTCCGACGTTATCGAAATTGAAGTCGTTGTTGGACCAGACTCTTTTCTTTGAAACTGGCTTCGTTGGATCTCCGTCTTCGTAATGAATGTATTCTCCACGACATTCTGCTTCTGTCATCTTCGAAAGATCGTTACAAAGGAAGAAGGTTCCTTTGAATAATTGAACTCCGATAATGGCAAACATGAATTGTAACATGAATGTGACCAACATGATGTTTCCGATAGTCTTCACAGCTACAATCACACATTGCACCACATGTTTCAGTCCTTTGGCTCTGTTGATAGCACGAAGTGGACGCAACACACGGAGCACACGAAGAATCTTGACGACGGACATTGCATCGGTTCGGAGAACGAAAGATGTCAAGGAGACAGCAACGACAAGAATATCGAGAAGATTGAAAGCGTTTCGACAGAACGATCCTTTGTGGAATACCAATCCGAAGACGATGACTTTCAGAGTTATTTCCACAGTGAAGACCGATGTGAAGAAATAGTCAAAGTAGTTCAGAACCTAGAAAAAAGAGTGGTTACTAGTTATTGTGGATTATAAAGCATACCATATTTCTGGTGGAGTTTGCCTGTAGTGGATCTTCAGCAGCTAACATAGCAGATGATACCAGAATACAGAAAAGAACTGCGTTGGTGAAGTAGGAGTGATTGACGACCATGTTACAGAAGACACTGGAACAATGAGACTATTAAGGGATAAATAGGATTTAAAAATTACCGAAAGGAGTTCGTGTGACTCAAAATGAACAGCGAAGAAGCCTTTGGAATCGGTTTGACCGTACTTGCCGCCGGTACTTCACTCATTCTCCTTGGTCGAGCTGATGTCATGTCTTCTTCTCCTTCTGGTTCTTCTGCTCCATGCTCGTCTCCTTCTTCTTCTCCTTCATCGAATTCTTCATCTTCTCCTTCAATCTCTTGTTGTTCTTCTTCTTTTTCAGCATTTGTTAAACTGTCTGCATCTGCCAGATTGTCTACAGCAATAGCCAAGAAGACATTCAGAAGGATATAGTTACCGCAGATGAAAAGTACAATATAATAAATGCATACGATGACTCCGAGAGTTCCGACTCCTCCGAAAGACTCAATTCCATGGTACATTACAGTATTCCAATCTTCACCAGTCAGAATCTGGAACACTGTCAGCAGGGCTTGGACGAATGTATCAAAGTTGGCTCTTGGCTTTGGTTGTTGTGGATTGAAGTTGAATTTTCCTCCGAATACTTGCATTCCCAGCAACGCGAAAATCACGATGAACAAGAAGAGAAGTAACAGAAGAGAGATGATGGATCGGAGAGAGTTCAACAGGGAAGAGACCAAATTTCTCAGCGACGTCCAGTATTTGGTGACTTTGAATATTCTCAGAAGACGTGCAGAACGCAACACAGACACTCCGAGTGGTTTCATCAAATCGAAATAGACGAGAACGAACTCGAGAATCGAACTGATAACGACAAAACAATCGAATCTGTTGAACTGTGATGTTGTGTATGTGGTGAATCCAAGAGAATACATCTTCAGAAGCATTTCCATTGAGAACAGAATTACGAAGAACAAGTTGGCCATTGCTGAAATTCCAAGACATTGGTATTCATAGAAAAACAATTAAAAAACTCACTTTGGAAGTGGTCGAGCCATTCGGATTGTCCATAGTGTTCAGATGTCAATACTAACGTATTCAACAACACGAGAAGGATAACAAGCCAATAAAATGTTTGACTCTTCACCAATCGTCTGCATGCTCTTCGACATCTCCTATTAAACTTCTCCAATCGTTTTACCCTAGCTGACCATTTACTCGGTCGAACATCTTCCACTCGTTCTTCTCCCTCTTCATCCACTTCTTCACCAGTCACTGCTGCTGCAGCTGGTTCGTCTTCCTGCTCATCTTCGTTCACTGGTTCGATGTCTTCTGCCTGCGTAATCCAGTCCAAGTACCCTTTCAAGTCTTCTTCCAATTGCTGCTTTTCTCGAAACTTCTGGAATAATCCTCTTGCTCTCGCCTTTTCTCTTTCTTTCGAGAATTCTCCGGACAACACTCCCAAAACGAGATTGAGGACGAAAAAGGATCCAAGGATAACGAGAGTGACAAAATATATCCAAGGCCATTCTCTTCCAACAGCATCGTTCACCCAGTACATGACATCTGTCCATCCTTCCAGTGATACACATTGGAATACTGTTAACATAGCCAGTCCAAAGTTATCAAAGTTTGTGATTCCATTGTTGGGACCAGGCCACGTGGTGTTGCTGGAGCATTCCCATCGGACACCCATATTCGTCAGAGAATCAGATGGTCGACACTTGAACGCACTTCCATCGTTACCACAGGGTGTTGGATCTTTTTGTGCCAGTTGTCCTGTTGCTGGATCTATACAAGTGGAATGTAATTTTCCGCAGAACAATTCCAATCCGATGATGGCATAGATCAAGATGACGAAAAGAACCAACAAAGCAATGTGAAGAAGTGGAATCATTGCTCGGAGGATGGCGTTGAGCACGACTTGTAAACTCGGAACTCCGGATACAAGACGAAGAGGTCGAAGGACACGAAATGCTCTCAACGCTTTCACATCGAATCCTTGAATTGACATTTTGGATAATATCGTACTCACAAGACTGAAAGTATATAAGTAAGATTCAAACGGTTCAAACAAGATCTTACCCTATTACAACAATAATAAAATCGAGAATATTCCATGCGTTTCGAAGATATGCGCTGGGATGGAATAGAAACCCCATCGCCACTATTTTGAGTACACATTCTATCGTGAATACAACAATGAACACGTATTCAATGGTTTCCTGAAAGAATACTGGTTTTAAATAGGTCGAAACTAAAACAGAAACTCACAAGTAATGTATTTTTATAATCTGAATCTTGAGCTGGATAGGGTTGATAGATGGCTAGAGCGATACAGTTGGCACATATCATAAACAATATTAAAAACTCGAATGGTCTGAAAAATGTGTGGTTTTTGCCTCCTGCATCTGATTGCCTTTAACTCACTTCCATTCAACAATACTGATGCACAATTTTCGGATGGGATTATTTAAGGAGAGGCAGAGAAGCGACCGTTCGGACCTCTCGACGACGTTCGTCTGTCGAAGAGGTTTCCGTTGAGCCGGCCTCTTTTTCGTCGCATCTTGTGATGATGACGCTGCCACGGCCGCCTGGAATAAGAAAATTAAAGATGTGTTCGATAATTCAAAATATTTATATTTTATATCCCTCATCATGTTTTATCTATTAGAATTTTCTTTTTTTTTTGTGAAGACAACTAGGATTCGAAATCGGCGATGGACAATGGTTTGGTTTCGAATTTCAGTATTTTTCTTCTCTTTCTAAGACATCGTCCCCTTAAAAAGGAAAGAGCTTCTTTCCTTCTTTCCACAAAACCCATGAATACGATCATTTGTCAATTTGCATAAGAGCTTTTTCGGCTTCTCCCTCTACAGCTTCTTCATCATAATACACCCAACGTCTTCGTTCTTCTTCTTCCTTTTTTATTGTTTTCTCTTTCCCTCTCTTACTTTGTCGGATAGATTCTGATGCGATCCTCCCGGTAAGAGAAAGAAAAAATGAGAAGAAGAAGAAGGAAAAAAAAATGAGAAGAAGAAGAAGGCGGACAAAAAGAGCAATAGAAAAGAGCACTATTCAACTCGATAATCATATCCACATTGTGATGCATGCAACTTCTTTTTGGAGTTTTTTCTTTTGCTTTTCTTCTTCTTTTCAGGATCAAAGAATGATGAAAAGAGTCGCATTTATAGTACGAAAGATGGAAGATGAAAATGTGCACATTATAAGAAAAAGAGTGGGAGAGCGCTGAATCGGAAATTTGTGTGGAAATGGTATGGAATCGGAAATATTCCAGTTTGGTCTTGAAGCTACCAAATTGTTTTTTGGGATTAAAATTGAAGCACTGCTGAAATCGAATTTTCTGCTAAGAAATATCAAATTTGAGAATCTAGAAAATCCAGTAAATTCCGTATAGAAGTTGAAAACAGTCAAGTGTGGACTGGAAACAGTGGATGGAGTTAAAACTCAGAACAGTTTACTCCGGCCATTCAGCGAATCAGTGTGCATAAAATAGAACTGCAGCACTGTTTATCAAGAAAATTCGCTGAATTCTAGCTAATGTTTCAAGACAATTTCAAATTTCCTAACTTTTTTAGTTTTAAAAGATACATGACCAGGTGTTGTCCAAAAAGTGAATACCGTAAACACTGATTGAATGACCTCCTAAACTTTCAACTTCGAGCCAATATATCTCGGTTCCTGTAAAAGATATCAAAAAATGTTCAACTAATAAAATATTTTTGATGTTATTAGGTTGGCGGGAAAGTCTTTGTCACTCTGTTTGTTTAATCACTGTTCTCGTATATGGAGGCTGTGTATGATATCGACTCTAGTGAATAACAAGGTGATAAGAACCTTCCATATAAACAAGTCCCCATTTCCTTCCCTGCTCCTCATCTGTAATTGAAACGATATGTTTGTTCCCACTGCTATTCACATCAGACATGTTTTGATTTACCTCTTCCTAGCTCACACCACGATGAAGGATTCCGAAACTTTCTTGAAGAATTGTGCACAACACACATGCCCCTCACTACAATACTATTCCCAATTGGTTCCATCGTTTCGAAAAAGATGAGTTCTCGCTCGATGAAAAGGGTCGATATGGGAGACCCCGTGAGTTGGATTTGGACAAGCTGAAGCACGCATTGCAATCGGATCCATTTCAATCTAGCCGTGTAACTAGAGGTCACATTTGGAGTTCACCACAGCACAGTCATTGAAGGTTTGAAGTCTCAGAGAATGAGAGAGCCTTTTGGCCTATTCATACCTCATCACATGACTCAAGCCAACTTTGACCGCAGAGTCGAGGATTCGATAGCTCTTCTCACTCTCCACGCGGGGCGATCGATGGCTGGACCGGCTAATAACCGGAGATGAGAAGTGGGTCTTCTACGATAATCGCCACAGGAAATCCCAGTGGGTGGAGAAGGAGAGAGCCCACAGGATGTCCCCAAACCCGACCTTCATCCGAAAAAAGTTATGCTCTCTGTGTGGTGGGGAGTGGACGGCCCCATCTACTGGGAACTTCTGCCCGAGGGCAAAACAATAACTGGAGACCTCTACACTACTCAACTACGAAACCTCAAGAAAGCAGTCGACCGTTCGGCCCTGAAAGACAAGAAAGTGTACTATCAACATGATAACGCTCGCCCACATGTTTCGAAACAAGTGAAGCAGGAGCTGAGGGGATATGGATGGAATGTTCTCCCTCACCCCCCGTATTCTCCTGATCTTGCTCCTTCCGACTATTGGTTATTTGGCGATATGACACGTGCCTTCGAAGGAAGAAGCTTCAATTCCCGTGGAGCGGTCGAAGCGGCACTCAAACAATACTTTGCCTCACGCCCGGCTGGATTCTACCGCAATGGAATCCATAAATTGAGGGAACGTTGGAGACATGTTGTTGATAATGATGGACAATATAATTAATTATTCGGTTATTTTTTCTTTGAGAAATAAACTATTGAAAAAGTGACAAAGACTTTCCCGCCAACCTAATATAATAGAAATTTGGTCGGTTGACGACTTTTTAATACCCTTCTCATGAAAAGATATATATGGACTCAAAGTTGACAGGTTGGGACATTCTAATAGAGATTCTAATAGAGTGTTTGCGGTATATTGTTTTAACCAGGTTCGAGCCACATCTAATTTTGTGAAATCAAAGATTTTGTGTTCATTCCTTCGTTCCTCCCGAATCTAAACATCTATCTATGAAACTTTCCAAAGTTCAAAGTTCACAACGGTTTCCTGATCATTGTCAATTCTTAGTCGTCTACTTCTTAGTCGTCTTTTTGTGCAATGAGGTGTCACATATCCTCCTGGTTTGCATAAAAAATCAATCCTTTCTTTTCAAAGATCCTCTCAACGGTTCAAACTTGTCAACTTCCATCAGATCAACTTTTCTTCACCACCAAATTCTTACTTCCACCCTCACTTTTATTTCTCTACAAGTTCCTGCATCTTTTTGCTCTGGCATTCGCACATTACACTCTAGATGATGATGATACACAGATACACTCACTCACACATACTGAAGAAATGCGCTTTTCTGTGTTCAATCAGAATCTCTGAAGACACAGAGCAAGAAAAATCAGTTTTGAGAGAGCGTTAGAAGTTAAAGAGTCTCATAACAACTCGTTTTCTCTGTTTCTCTATTTTTCTCTTTCTAAACATTTCAGAAAGAGAAACTGATAAAATGGGACGGATAACTTTTGGCACCTTTTCCCTAATCACTTACTAATCTCAACCAAAGTAATGGTGCAAGACCGTCAAAATATCCATAGATATCAGCATAGAGCTCTCCAATCTCGTACCTCAGACTGGGCATTCTAAGATTGGGAAAATAATGAAATGATACCATTCACCCGATCTCCTTTTATAGTGTCGTATCCCTGATGGTGCAACGGAAATTAGGAACGAAAAAAGGGTAATATAAAAAGAAAGAAAAAGGGTAGGGTTCCCTCATCAGGATTGATGAGGTTCAGGCGCCCACCGACACCATCGTTCAATTGTGACGGTTTATAAGCTTGCTAAGAAGCAGAAAATTTGAGATGGCCATATGAGGATGGATGGGTAACAAGAAAATGAAGGGGCTCATCTTGATTTTAGGAAAGGAGGTCAATTCGGGAGAGATGGGTCGGTTTAATTGGGGCTTCTGACAACATGGAGCAGATTCAAAAATAAATGAGGTTCTCCTATGCTCATGATGGATTACCAACTGCGGTGGGCTACCGTATTCCAAGCTGTAGGGTATGGAAATAAGAAAAGGCTAGTAACCGAATAAGAACTCCTCACTGGGAGAAAACCAAAGAATTATGAATTTCGAAATTTGAAGAGTCGAAAAGAAGGTTCCTAATGACATAATTGGCAGTATCGAGAAGCTCGTTTCACTTTAGAAGGTAAAATGGGCGGATGGATGGATTCATAAACCAGTTTCTATCAATGATTCCTAGGTTTTTATGACAATTTCAACTTTATGGACGGGATTTGAACATCCGGGTCAATTTATGGGAGCAGGTGCCCAAAAGCGGTTATGACTGATTTTACGACTTTTGGGAATAAGAGGAAATCCGATTTTGGTCATTTTGTACTAGGCTTGAAGAGTCTATAGGTCCGGGAAGGAATTGCAAGATTTCGATGATTCGGAGAGTTTCGAAATTCCAAAAGTCTGTGGATTTTTTTACAGTTAAAAACATTGGTCTTGTAAGTTTCCTGGACTGGCTAAAAATGTTGGTGGACGAGAAATTTTAGAGGAGTCTAAGAGGATGGATCAAACCATTGTTAATCTGACTTTTTCGAGTTTTCAATGAATTTTGCCGGCTTCAGCTCTTTTTTTTTAATCCACATTGCTTTCTTCTTTCTTCTTCATATTTTCGATAAATTTGTACTTTTGTATTTAAAACATTGCCTTACCTGTAACGTCTGTTGCCATAAATCGGATCTCTCCTGTTCATCAGCTGCAGCCTGCTCCTCATCCTCCCCCGATGACATCATACTCGCTAACACTGCAAAAATCAGAACTCTTTTTATCAATTGTTCCGTTTTCACTTAGAAAATTTTGTCTTTTTTTCGGTTGCGCGAGAACGCAAAAACAAAAGCAAAGAGAGTGCATATGATGGTTGAGTGGAAGAGGGGGCGAGGGCACCAACCCTTTCAAAACAGTATTTTTCTTTTTTTCAGTTTTTCAAGTCATAAAAATCTTCATACCTGACATGGTGGACACAGGTTAACGCTCGTCATGCGAGCCTTTCCAGATCGAGCAGTGTCTGCGCACTCCTCCTTTTCCACACTATCTCTTTTTCTTCCTTCTTCGTGGTGCACCACACAGTGCGTTCTCGTTCTTCTGTAAAAAAGAAAAAACGAAATTCGAGATCAGAAAATGGCAAAGAAGAGGGAGAAAAAAGAAAATGACGACGACGACTTCAAAGCTTTCTCCATTTTTTGCAGTTTAGTTTTTTTTTTCGCAGCATCCACCCTCACATTGAAAGAAGGTGGGGATGAAAAAGGGGAGAGAAAGGAGCAATGTCCTTTCGAAAAAAAAACGGGAAAGAAGACGTTGTAGTAGAAGGACAGGAGGCAGAAAAAATGGACTGACGATCAAAGTTTCGTTTTTTAAAGAAGAAGAAGGGGACAGACTTCTGACCAGATGAAAGGGGAGGAGCAAGGAACTATAAGTAAAAATGGAAACTGAAACAATCAAGAGCGATTCAGATGGTATGATAAAAATTGAAAAAAAAATTGTTCTTGAATTTGTGGTAAGTAAATATGTATCTTATTCAGAACTTTGAGGCTTTGTAGTAAGAGTATATATTGTTAAAAGATGTTCGTATGGCTTCTTCTTTCTTCTTTTTTCATCTCCTAACTAAAAACAGCCCGGAAAAAAGAAGGAAACGAAAAAACAAATGAAAACGTTTGAAATTCGGTGTGTGGTTTTGGGTGTGTGGGGGTGGAAGGGTTAGAAGAGAAGAGGGTGCTAAACCCCACTATTTTTCGCCTCCGTTTCCGTTTTTTTCCAGTTTTGCTACAAAACGTTATCTGGACAGACGGATGGCGTCGGGGGCCGTTCATCACCTCGCCAGAGAACCGCCCATACTTACGCGAAGAATTGCAGTTTTTTGACAACGGGCGACGTCCTCCTACACCACCCGGAGCCATCACAAATATGCACAAAAACTCGAGTTTTTTTTTCTATTTTTCCTTTTTTTTTTTCGTCACCAAAAATTTTTGTCGAAAAAAAAACGGAGCCTCGCCCGAGATGGAGAGGAAGAAAAAAAATAATGAGCGACGTGTGGGAGATTAGTTGTTCGCGAAGGAAGAAAAAGAAAATGGAAGATGAGGGAAAGAGATTGATGTTCAATTTTCACATCTTCACATGTTTCTGGAAATCCAATTGAGGAACCATAAAATAAGATAAAAAAGTTTTAAGTTCATTTTAATCCTAAAACTTTTTTGCGTAAAATGTTGCCGGAGAGTTGTGTGAAAAAGAAAAAAAGAAGAAGCATTCGAGAGGAAAACGAAGAAAGAAAAGGGGAAAGAAAAGACGAAAATTCGGAAAAGCCGGGGACCAGCAGGCGACCCAGTCAGTGAGGGGGAGAATTTTAAAACAGGACGGCCGGCGGAGAGCACACGATAATTCTATTCTTCCTCTTATTCTCACGTCTTCTTATTAATTTGATGATTAAAATGTGGGTGGGTATGCAGTCGCTTTCTCTTCATTCATACTAGTCGCCAATTAAAAAACCATATTTTAAATTCACAATAATATTCCAGGGGACGTATTCATGAAATTTACTTCTATAAATCATTTACTCTCAAAAAATCAACTGAATCATTTACCAAAAGGTAAATGGAAGCGTGAAAATGTACTGAAAATCTTTTTCCCAATTGTAAATTATTTTCCTGTTTTTTAGATAGGAAAACGACTTTGAACTAGAATTTCTCAACTACTTTAAACTGAAAAATGTTCATTCTTTGACACATTATTTTAAATTGAATGCTCTATCCATTCATTTCATTTGTATTAAAAGTCATAATTTTCGAGTTGAACCGATACGAAATATCTGTTTAAAGTTAGATAATATTGATGTTACAATACTATTCTTTCCATACATAACTTTTTTGGAATGAAAAGTTTCCAAAAAGTGGTTGTAAACAGCAAACGAAATTAGTACCCCTATTTACCAAAAAGAGGGGTATTTACCAAAAAGTAAATGATTTCTCTTAAATTTTCACGTTTTTCAGTTGATTTTTGAGAGTAAATGAGTTACAAAAGTAAATGTTCATGAATACAGCCCCAGAACGGAGGTTCTATGCAAACGAAAATGGAAACGGTCTGAACGGGTCAAATAGGTAAAAATCGTTAAAATATATAACTCGAACGATCCTCAAATAAAACATTATTGACAAATTAGAAATACCGAAAACAATATAAAAAAATTGTTGTGGATATGTTGTGATTATAATTTTTAACAAATTAGAGGTGCGGTCTAGACAAGCAGAATCGAATTAATTGTTTTTATCGTCTGGAATTGTTCAAAATGGTGCTTTATTCTCCAGTAGAAAAGTTTCAAAATATAGTGCAAGAACTGTGAAGTCCCGGAGGAACAAAACTAGAACTTCTGCGTTTTTAATATACTTTTTTTTTAATAGGAATAGTTTTTATATTTTTTCAAATTCTATATTGAAAAATTAGATCAAAGCCTTCGAAAAAGTTTTTAGGCTATTGTAAGGAAGTCAAAAAGTACTTCAATTAATCAAAAAGGAGCATCTGTATATGTTTCGAAAAAACCAAACTTTGAAGTTGAGAAGATGTCGTTTCAATGTTTTTATTATTGTGCTAACAGTTTGTAACCAACGATTTTCAGGCAGACTAATTTCAATTTTTTGGATTTTCTTAAATCTTATCTCAATTTTTTCGTAGCTGTTATCCAATTTCTTTAAAAATTGTCATGCCTTCAAATATCATTTGGAAATACCGTAAAATCAGTAATAGTAAGGTCCCTCACTTTTAGCTTTGAGCTAATTTTTCTTGGTTCCTGCCGAAGATATCAAAAAGTTGTCAACTGAGAAATTATTTATCACAATATTACAAACGTTTTATCGGTTTACACATTTTTGATATCTTGCATAGGCGCCAGGAAAAATTAGCTCAATCTTAACAGTGTGGGGGCCCATTTATTGCAGGTTTTACGGTAAGCAAACAAAAGCAAACTTTTTGGCAACTAAACAGTGGAAAGTGGATAGTGGATATTATCAAAAGTTAATCATTTTGAAAGGCCAGAAGGTTTTGATGTTAAAAAATGGATTGTAAAAATTTACTAAAATCGATGAATGAGCAACAACTCGGATTTGAAATAATCTTTTAAACTTTTGAAAAATTATTTCATGTTTTTCTTGGGTTTCAAAAGAACCTAAATTTCATCTTAAAATTCTCCATTTTTGAATTATATTAGTTACAAATTCATATGGCGCTTGACAAACGACAAACAAAGCAATTTAGGTTTTTAGGGGTATAAATGTTTCAGATCTTTTCGAAACAAACTTTTTAAAATCTTTGTTTTAAAAAAGCTATTCAAATTGGAGTAACTTATGTTTAAAAAATCAAATCATAACCTTCTCACTTTTAACCCTATCAAAATTTACAACAGTCAGCCAATTTCTTGGTGAGAAATTTGTAAACAAATAGAGTCCAAATTGAGTACAAATGGAAACGGGCCGTCTTTAAAAAATGGCAAAGGAAAGAGTTAACAAACGACGACTAATTAAAAAATTGAGTGAAAGAAGAAGAAGAAAAAGAAGGAAAAGCGGGGGTGGAAGGGAGGTCCATCAGTCCGTTCGTTCCGTCACACCATCACTCTCCACCAATCTATCCCCCCTCCATCCGCCAAAACACGACGAGAGCGGGAGCCAGTCAGCAGCACTTGCTCCTGCCTCTCTCTCTCTCTCTCTCTCTCTCTCTCTCTCTCTCTCTCTCTCTCTCTCTCTCTCTCTCTCTTTTCTCCTGTTATAAAGCTTTCGACTCGTTTGCCGTCTCCGCTTCGATGCCGCCACCACCACAGTCGTCGTTGGCTTCAGAGAAGAAGAGAGGCCTCCGATGCTCTCGACGGTTCGACGCAGAGACAGGAAGCTAAACTCGGATCGATACTGCACAGCGAGGGGCGGCTCTCGAAGAAGTCTACTAGCTCTCTCCGTCTCCATTTTTTCTTTGATATCGAGACTCACACGAGCCAGGAAAAGCTCGCGAAGTGGGAGAGAGATAGAGAGAATGAGAGAAAGGGTGAGTGGCGACATTTGTATTCTGTTTCATTCGAGAAATAGGAAAATGCGAACATTTTGCGAAGAATGACTCGCGTTCTCTATTTGGTGGCTTGCGAAAAGCGCAGACTCTTTTGTTTTGAATGTTTTCTAGTAGATCGTGCTGATTTTACTCATTGTCTCATCGATATCTTTCTTTTTCACAATAATTTTATACCTCTTGAGTGTCAAATTGGTGTTATTCTTACTCTTCCACATGCGTCTAAATTATTTTATTTTCAGAATTTGTCGGTTATCCGAGATAAAACATCAGCCAAACTGAAATATGAGCCAACATAAAACATATTTCATATTGTGATGATGTATTTTTTGTTTGGAGTTTTTCAAAATATCTGATGCATCCAATTTCAAAAATTTCAAAAGAATAGTCACTAAACAAAAAATTATCACATCCGCTCAGAATATATAAGTTTCAGCTACAGAAGTATCCGTATCATCTTCCAGCACAGTTTTTGATAAATGTTTTATTTTCCACCCGTGCTTTTCTAGATATTTAGATTAAGGTATTTTCTATTTATCAGAAAATCTAGAATGGCCAATAGAATTATAAATACAATTAGAAAAAAGGTAAAGATTTCGGAAACTTTAAAGTGTATTTTAAGACTCGAGAACTATGGATTAAAATTCCCACAATTTTTAAAATTATGCAAAAAAGAAAACATCAATTTTCAAATGGATTCGTTTTATAAAGTTTTGAAAACAAAAGAGAGACATTTTATGTTAAAAAATTAGGCAAAAATTGGAATAGAGTTTAAGATAAATTTCAAGTTTGTCGTAAACGTAACAATAACGGACCTAGTTAATGCAATTTTTTCGCCAAATTTTTTTTCAGCTGAAAAGATTTTCTACTTCAAGAATGGGGCAATTTATAGCCGAAAAATTGTCTTCGGTGTTCTACATGAACCATGTATTAAAACCTATTATCCCCTCTAATAGAAGAGCTTTCTGAGAGGTACCTTGGAACAGTATAAGGGCCGGCCCTTCTAATAAAGGTTTAACGGTATGAGAAATCGTAACAAAAATTTTTTGAATTAGCACAACCACTTAGTTTTTATTCAAAATTTCAATCTAAGAAGCTCAAAAGAATTATTACAAAATGTTTTCAGACTGTTGTAACACCAAATTGTTTCGGAGATCTTTCATTGGAAGGTACCCATGACTTTCATTCAAAAATTCCAAAAAAAAAAAAAAGATTCATTAGTGCTACGAAGCTATTTTAGGATTATGAGCCTGCTCTCGTCCTCCGACGTCATTCTCACATAAAACGAATTAATTTAGAAAAAAAAGAAGATCAGAATGAATAGAAAAAGAACATTTTGGAAGGAAATAGAAAGTCAAGAATGAAGAAGCCCACGAGAGAAGAGAAGAAACAGAGCAAGATGGCCGGGCGGCTCCTCACTCGGACGGATATCAATGGTTTCAACTATAGTCGTTTTGCGAGTTTTGCTCTCTTTTAGCACCTGCGTCTCGAAAACTCTCGCCACCAAAAAATGTGGACACGGGGACTCTTTTCTTTTTTTTCTCTTTAAAGAGAGATATCTGGAGGAGAAAGAGACCGCCGTTGAGCCCAACCGGCGGATATGATGCTCAGTCACTTTTTCCGGGTGCCCGTCCGTCGTCACGCCGCATTGAGTTTCTACTTTTTATGCTTTCTTATGACTATTTTGAAGCGAAGAAAGAAAAAATACAAAAAAAGAAACCACCACCCAGCTAAAAGGATGGAATAAAAAATAGGGGGAGAGAGGGATAGATGAAGACATCCGCGTGAGAGGCTAATGAGATCAATTGAGATAGAAGAATTTGGAAGAAGAAGGAAAGGAAGAAAAGAGCATGCTATACAGCTTCATCAAAAAATGGGAAGAAACAGATAAAGTTAAGTGGTTTGAGAGGCAAGAAAAAGGGCAGACAGATGAAGGGTTATCCCTCGGTCTACTACTATCTAAACACACCAAAGTTCGTGAGAAGTATTCGAGTTTACTTTTACAGATTGTTTAGAAACGATTGATGAATAAAAAAATCAACAAGCAATACAGTTTTTAAAGTAAAATAAGTAGCTCAAAAATTACAAATTAGTTGAAAATACTCTGAACACCTTGTGCTTGCACGTTAAGCGCAATTATCTCAATTTCTATAACAGATTCTATTCTATGTATTATTCTATGTTCATTGTTGGAATCTGATTATCATGTATTTTAATGTTTTTTTTTCCTTTTTTTTCCACGATTCTTGCAATCGTAAATAAATAAATAAATAAATAAATTAAGATATCAAAATTTTGCAAACTATAGAAGTGTAGATAATATTATGATAAACATGTTATCATTCGACAGATTTTTGATATCTTTTATCGATATTGAAATAATTTAACTCAAAGGGCAATTAACAGGTGGCGTTCCTTAATTAGAGTGTTTACGGTTCAAATTGGGTGGAACAGTGGATCAAAGTAATACAAAATTTCGGAGTCGCCTAACGAATGTTACAGGTCATTCCACTGTTGAATCATTAAAGGATAACATTTCTCAAAGATTTAACACTAACGTTGGTCTTATTTTGCTATCTTTCTGCCGTACTAGAGATGCATGATCTGTTCTTTTTCAAGATATCCCGTAGCTATTTTTTTCCTAAATCGTAGCGGACTGCATTTTCAGAAATCCAAACACAAAATGAAAAATGGAATAACAACGGGGCTCTCTTCTGGAATGTAGTTCTGGAGACATACATTTTCCAGTTTCCCGATTCTTTATTAACATCTGTAAGATTTTAATTTTTCGAAAAGTTCGAACCAAATTCCATGAAATCTAATTTAGTTACATACAGAAGTATTTTTTGAAAATTAGAAACGCAACTCAAATAGGAATCGCAGCATTATAAATGTCGCCCGGGGGAAGGCACTTCAATTAGAATGTCATTGTAGATTAAAAAGGAATATGTAAATATAACATTTTTTATCACTTTTGTACTGGAAAAAATAGCAAAACTTTTTGTTTAGATGAAAATAACGAAAAATAACTGAAACTACCGTTCACACTCTGGTAGAACGACATCGAACTGTCAACTTTGAGTCTATATATCTCTTAGGTTGTTCGAAAAGTAATGCGCGCTATGTTTGGCGTTCTATAAATCGCATGTGAACGAGGGCTTCGGCTCAATTTTCCCTTCATTTAAAAGAGCATGTCATTAGCTTTGTTCTTAATTATCACTTTACCGTTCCGATCCATTTTTAAATTAGAAAAAGGTTTAAGTATGTGTCCAATCAAAATGTTCGCTTCCGAGCCTTATTTTAGCATGAATTCAAAAACGGAAAAACTGATGCCGAAGCTCACCGCTTTTTTTGTTCAATATTTTGAGAAGGTGCTCTATCCGAAAATAAATATCAACGCTGGTTCCAACGTTCCCAGAAGGTCGGAAAGAGCTTGGAAAGCAAAATACGCAGTTTCGCCTGAAAACCGTTGCCAACGGTGCCTTGAGACAAGCAAGCGAACTGGACTAGTGCTTAACAACTAGCTGCTTTCAAAAACAGTTCAATCGCACCCTGATCACATTTCTGGAAAAACGAGCAGATGTGGAAAAAGGGTGTCACACGAACTTTCTGATAAAACGCATCGAAGGGGCCAGTTTCCTCTTGCGTCGCTCAAAAAATCTTGGTTTCTTGCATTCAAGTTCAATGTCGGATAAGAGTCATTATGACTGCACTGAACAAAAACGGCAGTGGCTGGATCATGACAAGGCACCGTAAGCGACACCGAAAGCGAGCATGCACTATGCTATATATCTGGTGGAATACGCCAGGTCTGGTGTAGTTTGAATCCCTGGAAAATGACCAAATAGTGGCTACTGATCCTGACAAAGGTCAGCTGAACCGCGTGGACCTTGTGCTCAAAGGGCAAGGAATCGGCACATCGGCAAAGTTTCTGGTTCACGACAACGCTCGACCTCACACCGGAAAAATCACCCAAAAATTTTTTTGGAGTTGGGCTGAGAAGAGTTTTTTTCACCGCTGTACAGCCGAGATTCAGCACTATCCGACTATCACTTTCTCCGATTAATGCAGCATCATCTCGCTGAGAAATAGTTCAAGAATGAGGAAAGCGTGAAAATTTGGGTAACGAACTACTTCGAGTCACAGCCCGTGGGGTTCTTCAATAGAGGCATCAAATCATTGCGCATGCGTTGGCAGAGAGTGGTCGATAATGATGAAGAGTATCTTTTCGATCAATATCCTTTTGCTTTGTTTTTACATTTAAATGAAGTTTATCAAAAACGCGCTTACTTTTCGAACAACCTAATAGGTTCCTGTAGAAGATATCAAAAAGTGGTCAACTGACAAAATGTTTTTGATATACAAATAAACATTTTGTCAGTGAACGGCTTTTTCATATTTTTTACAGAAACCGAGATAAACGGGCCCAAAGTTGACAGTTTTGGGAGATCCTATTTGAGTGTTTGCGGTATTGCCAGTTTTAAAACTTTATAGAGAAAAAAAAGTATCGACAAATAAGTAGCAACATAATTGAAGAAGAAATACTATTAGAGGATGCGAAAATATTTTTCAAACACTGCTCTGGAGGGAAACGCTATTGGAGGTGCAATTCGATTGGGGAAGACAGTTATAGAAATTTTGCAGTAATGCTGGCTCTCCCTTATAGGCACATAAAGTGTCTATAAATTCAAATAAACCACAGCTGAAACAGATTTTAGTTTTCGTAGAATTGGAGTAGTCTGAATCCGAAGGATGAATCGAAGAGAAACCAGTTCTTGACCTGCTCTTTCTACCAACCGAAACAAGGTCTCGTTGCCATGCGAGCCCACCGTTAATTAAACTGACAAATCAAAAAAGTCGTTAGCTCCATCCCAAAAATGTGACAAGGTGCGTTAATTAGAGATGAGCTTTAGAAGAAAACCAATTAGCAGATGTTCCCCATTTTTCATTCAAACTCAAATTCAAAAGAAGAGAAAAGAAATCAGCGAAGGTGAAACGTACCTCCCTGCTTTTTCATGAAAGGAACCCATTTGGCGTATCCAAATGGAAATGAAATAAACGTATTTGGAAATGAAATATAATACTTTGGTTATGACTCCAAACGTGCTTCTCTCTTCTGGAGAAGAAGAAGAAGAAGAAGAAGAAGAAGAAGAAGAAGAAGGGATGGATCAACCGTCGAGGGATGATGAAAGTGAACTCCAATTTAGAATTCTGATCCTCGAAGACTCGTAGGAGTACAACGTGACAAGAAAAAAGGAGAAGAAAGGAAAGGAAGACAGATGAAAACAGGAGAAAGGATGTACGTACACACATAAACCGAATGAAATATCACTGCTTTTCTGGATAGACACGCTACTTTCTCCCTCTTCTGAGTACTCTTTTCTGGCTCCAACTACTAAAAAATTATTAAAAATAGAGCTACACTGGAAAAGATGTTGTCCTACTGTAGTTGTATGACTTTACGAATTGATGTAAAATCAAACGAATTCAAATTATAAGTGAATACGACGAAATTCGTTGGCAAATGGGTTACAGTAGTCAGAAAGAAATGGCGTTTAAGATCTCATGGATTATAGATGTTGGTTCTTGTTTGTTGGCGGTTGTAGCTATCAATCTGATATTTTTATATGAAGGAATTTATTAGAAAAAAAATCGATGTAGTTATGAATCATAAAAAATCGGATTCTCAGAAACTGCGTGGGAGCCGCCGATTTGATCGATCTCTGCTCTGCAAATCTCGGTGCGCAGGAAACCGTTGTTGACCACACTCAACCAAACAGATATGTTTTCTCAGAATCTTATCAATCAAATCAAGAAATCAAATCGATCTTAAAAAATAGGAAATATCTTTTAAAGAAAATGAGATAACTACACTCAAAGTGGGCGCATATGGTGGGCTTCTAATAGAGAGAATACGGTAGCTGATGGGCTCGGAACTGTTTTAAAACTGATTTTAAAAATGTTTTCAAATTTTGTCGAAAATTGTGATGATTCAAACTTGATTTTTTTTGGCTGATAAGCAATGTTTTTTTAAAATTTTAAGTACGATAGGTGAAGAACCTGGAATGAAAACGGGTATATCTTTAGAGATAGGTATGATGGGAAGACGAAATTTGGCAGAAATATAACTTTATAATTGGTACACAGGCTCTGAAATTTTCAAAACTTTTGCACAAGTTTCAGTGTTTTTATGATTGTCCAAAGATGAACGGCGAAATGTTTCTTGCACGCCACTGTTTCCTGATTTATACTGATGGAACTTCATTCTAGCTTGTACGATTTGACTCAAAATTTTGTCAAAAGTAAGGCACATATAAGTATTGTCTTCACACAAAATTTAACGTTGGTGGGATGCATCTGTCCAGAGATATCACTCTAATAGTCACCCTACATCTGACTTAGAATTGGGGTTCAATGTTGCCTTGTGAACCTAATTTCAAGAAAAAAGACGTTCACATGACTACAAATTCTTATTAACATTTCTGATGCAGTTTTAATAAAATTTAAATGCCCAAAGACATAAACATAAGGTCGTTAGGTCAATTTACTTCAAAAAGCTGAAAATTCTCTAATTTTGGCCTCTTTTTGGAAAACTGGTGGCTACCAATTAATACTTTCGATCTGAAATTTTCACAGATGATTTTAGAACAGTTGGACTTGACACTCAAAAATTTTCAGCCACTCATTGCTATTACTATATTTTTTATTGGTAGACAAAGTTGAGCTAAAAAGACAGATAAGCCGCGTACAGTCCAAACTTTATGTTGTTAGTGACCACAGTACAAGTCCCTTGGTTAATAAAATATTCCCAAAACTATGAAAAATGATAGCAGAAGATTGTATCTTCAAATTTCAGAAGTTAATACTACGAAAAACTCGTTTTGGTTTCTATTTTAACATATTTAATTTGGACTAAAACGGCCATTTTCATGATTTCATGATATTTTCATGAGATAAAGCAACTTTGACAAGCGATAACTCAACTAATAGTTGTTATTTGAATTTGAAACTTGGCCAGTTTATTGATGAGTTATGTGAATTGTTGCACTCCAAATTTGAGCCCAGTACAGGGCTTCGTTCAAATTCAAATTTTATGGTTGTACAAACTTTTGTGCGGGTAATTATGCGCCACCCTGTAGAAGGGCCCCCCGCACTATACAAGATATCAAAAATGTGTCAACTGACAAAAAACTTCTGATATTATGAAAAACAATTTATCCGTTGACAACTTTTTAATATCCTTGACAGGAACAGAAAAAAAATGGCAAGTTGGAAAAATGGGCCAAAACTGAAAGTTAGGGGCACTTCTATTACAGGTTTAACGGTGTGTATTAACGAAAAGTCACATACTAGATGAAACTTTTTGAAAAACTTTGATTTTATTTAGGTCGATTACTGAAAGCAAATCTTCTAAAGGTTTCAGGGATAACATTTTTTCAAAATGCAAAATCGGAGGTTTGAAGAAAAAATCTTCTTGGGATCCGATTTTTTTTTGAGAAAAAGAAAATTTGAGAAAATTTCAGAAACTGAGAAAATTTTGAAATTCAGAAATCAGTTGGTAAAATCTTTCTAATCAAAAACTGCTGCGCAACTTTGAAGCTTTGAAATTTTGAAAAATGATTTCAATACCAAAATACAAGGGGCGACACAGATCAAAGAAGGGATCAATATGTGTCCCAGACAAAAAAGGAAGGATAAGTTTCGCAAATATTTTAGAAACGACCAAAAAGCAGTCTGTCTGTTTTCTCAATCTCTCTTGCCTGTTGAAAGTGTGCGAAATCGTACGGTTATGCACGCGGATAGGAGAGGATTCAGTAAGTCTCTCCCTTCCGAATCATCATCTCTCCTTCTGTTTTGAGAGCTCGGTAAATACTGCATCCGTCGGCGAGAAATAGTACACATGAAGGTGGCGGCCACCGAGAGACGAAATCTGTGCAACATCCCATTCTTATTCTTTTGCTCTCCTCCCCCATTCAGTGTGGAGGCGGCGCGGCTAGGCTTTTTGTCCTCATCCAATCTCGAAACTACCTGTATGACGATGGTGTGGTGATTTTGGCATCTTTACTATTAATTTTTATTGCCTATTGAGGGGAAACGTAGAAGATAAAACAATGAGAAGGTTTGGGTGGGCCGGTGTTGACGAACGCTCAACTGAAACTCTCTGAAAGCCTCAGTGGGAACATCTTCAAAAGCCAAAGTGAATTTTTTGTAGAAGGGGGGAATGCATCTTCTTTTGCCAATCCGAAAAACACCATCCGCCCGGCATCTTCTCTTGCTTCTTTCTTCCGTTCCTGCAAACCAGAAGACCCACAAGCATCCCGTCTCTTCTCACTTCTTCAAGTTATGACTGCTTGTTTCGGAGGATTCGCTCATGGAGGAAACGACGTTAGCAATGCTGTTGCCCCACTCGTCTCATTAGTATTGATTGCATCTCACGGAATGGGAGCTGATCAATTGCAGACTCCATGGTACATTCTTCTC